GTCATAGTACATTTATCAGGTAGACAGGCAGTTTGTTTGCCATTTCATCAGCATCATCTTAGCCATTATCTACCTACTAAAAAACTTAGGCTTCCCCCATAAACTGCCATAAAGAGCGGTCCTGACCCATCTGCATCCACTGATTCCCTGCAATGCATTTGAGGTCGTCACTTCATCTAATGGGAAGTCGTCCTACAATGCGTTTACCCGTACGACGAATTCATATTGCATAAAAATTAATGAAACTAAATAAAGTATGGATGCTTGCTAAATGTAATATAAACAGTATTTTTAGTTACATTAGGAAGATTTTCGATTAGAATTCACGATTTCTTTTGTATTTTATGCAACGTCGTCGATTAAGAGAGCTGTTTTTTTTTTGTAATTTCCTTCTGTCTGATTCTGAAATCGGGTAATAATGAAATGATTTCTAACTGGGTTTAAAACATCATTTCAGTCTATACAAAAGTTAATGTAAGACCTGTAGTATAATAATATTTGCGGTTACACCTCGGTTAACTACGTAATAACTGTTATTACACTCGGTTTATTGCTAAACTTAAACCAGACAGACTTCGGCTACATCAGCTACAGCTACCCACAATTTTTAAAGGGCTACATATTTTTCCATATATTACATTATTTTTAATAATTTGGTAGCACATGCAAAAACAGCATATTGTTAATTAAAAATGTCGATTGTAATACAATCTCAGAAGTAAAAAAAAATGTTTTATATTCTTGTACGTCAAGTATCAATTATAAATAAATATCTACCTACTTTTTTAAAAATTACATGATGTAAATCGCTTATGCTAAGGGTATACAATGGCGGAGCACTAGTGAAAGATGAAACGATGAGAACGAAGCCAGGTCAATTGGCCCGTTTGTAGCCAATTCACAAAAAATTAACAGTGGAGGTTTTCAGGAAATAGTGAGGACTAACAACCCCATTACTAACAATCTCTTCCCGTCTCTGATGTCTACATACTATATGTTTAATTAATAAGAACTGTATGTATTGTTGATGAATATCGTAAAATTATATCAGCTGTTGACTGCGCACTGCTGAACATAGCCTCTCCCATAAAGAAGATTTTGCCAGTAGTTGCCATGCTTGGCAGGCGGGTTGACAACCGCAGTTTGGCTTTTGATGTTTTATGAGGAGCACTGGTACCCTGCAACCATAAGCTCCCTTAGTCGCCTCTTACAATACCCACGAGAATGGATAGCCCATTCTATTCCCGGCAATAGATCGGCATCCTACACTAAATACTTATTTATATCAGCTACAAAACCAAAGTTAACAAATAAACTACATTACTAACATTCAAATTTCCCGAACTTAACTGATTAATGATATATGAATATCGACTGAGGATTTCGAAAATACTCGAAAAGATAAATACGTGAGTAAACCGATTTAAATAACTGAAATAAGTTATCAAAAGTAATCAAGATTTATACTATATTTAAGCCTTTTATATTTCTATTTAGTAAAATCTATTAAGAATAATAAATAACCTGAATGATAGAGTGTCAAGGTCAAATACAATTGAACATTTATCTGAAATTGATCAAGGTCTAAATTAATATTATTTCAATTCTCTGTACTCGTAACTGATGTTATATATTTTATTATAATTACCACGCCTTTATTTGAATTAATATAAAATAAAAATAATTGAATAACAACTATCGTGGCAAAACCCCCCAAGCTTATGTTCACCAGAGGACAGTTACAGGCTGATATATTGATGATGAATAGCTATCGTGAGTCATACTGTATTGTAATACAGGTGGAAGCCGACCTGGCAGGGTATATTACTAGCAATAGGGCTCAGTCCGAATTTCTAACAATTCATTCGCCACCCCCTCGAGTTTGGATTAAGTATACAAATTAGCTATATAATGAATTGAACTCTTATCCTGAATTAAGATATACAATAATGTATATAGTAATTTACTTGGCCAAAGCTGCGATACTAATAGTTGTCATAATTATCTATTATATATATATATATATATATATATATATATATATATATATATATATATATATATATATATATATATATATATATATATATATATATATACTTATTTTTATACGAACTATATAAATTATTATTGTATTCATATCTATTTTAATTAAATGATCCAAATACTTATCAATAGTATTTGACTCAATGTACACTGTTCTGTGTACTGTACACTCTTGAGTTCCCTTTCTTAGTACATACTTTATAATTGTTTTATTGTTTATTAACGCATCGTGAAGTTATAATGTTATTAAATACATTAAATGTCCTCTACATGAACTCTGTTAACTAGGAGGAAAGGGATTGTTAGTTAAGGAGTCTATTTATATAATATTTACAATAATATGGGATGTAACTGTCTCAGCAATATACCCTATCAAATCGACATGCATTCGGTTTCCCCTGGAAACTATCGTGGTTACAATTGTTGAGTTCGTTAAAATGGGCCAACTGACCTGCAATCATTCTCACCTATCATCATTCACTGGTGTACCGCCAGTGTATACCAATAACGCAGGCGGGGTCACTATTTTATTTTCACCAATTAAATAAAGCCTCTTAATTTGTTGTATGTATCAAACAAAATAAAAAAGATTTTTTTTTTAATAAACTCGAATAATGAATATTTATAACTATTTCAAATTTCAGACATTAGCGTTAGTCATTAAAATATAGCGCTGTGCCAAATAGCTAGCCGGATGGATGAAATTATTATGCCGGTTTAACCAGAACTATAAAAAAATATAATGTTTTTATGTATATCTATCCGTCTATCAATAGAGCGAGAATAATACGTTGTTAATATTATTAACGGTACCAATATCATAAGTAAAACCACGGATTGTTTATGTATAAACGACCATAAAACTGCTCTTGCAATCATCGTTTCATGCTGCGGTAACATTTAACGATCCATAGGTAATTGAGTGGGTTTATGAACAAAATAAACTTTAAATTACTCAGTCGTTTGCGTGATAGAATCAAAAATATCCGCAAAATAACCTAAGTGACCAACATAGTCCGAAGTATAAGCATGCTAAAGTGGTAATGGGCTAGTCACATGGAAGAACTGATAATCGATTGGAAAGAAGGATTCTGGAGTGGGGAGCTCGTTCAGACAAATGTAGTATGGGACAGCTCCCCACTACATGGAGCGATGATCTCAAATGTATTCCAGGTAGTCAGTTGATGATGCAGGTAGCTCGAAGGTATTCCTTATGGTATTCTATGGAAGAGGTTTATGTCCAGCAGTGGACAGTTAACGGCTAATAAGATGATAATGATAATGAACAAAATAAAAATACTATGAGTCATCATCCAAATTTTTGCTTAGGATTGCTTGAATAACAGTTTTTATGACCATTTTAGTGACTTATTATTAAACTACATTCTCAATAGATTGTAGTATTATTCTTGGTTATTAGAAATTTCCTTATCACTCATTCATTATCATAAAAAACTTAGCCACCAAGGTACACAGGTATAATAAAAATTCCCAAGTGCTAGTCATACATGAGCATATTATAAACCACATGTGACTCTATCCCATAGTTTCTTGTATAAATTAGGTTTAAATGTATCCTATATGTTAATTAAAGGTGCCTCTGTTCTATTACTGTACATAATTTAAGATTGTTTTCCACAAAAAAAAAAAAAAAAACCGAATTCAATTGTGATAAAACTCAAAATATCTAATTCTGATTTCAAAACTACAGGACCGATTTTAATAATTTTCTAAGTGACAAATCTGTAAATATATTCTTTCAGATAAAACATATTTTTCAAATATTTTTATACCTGATGGAGTTACGAGTTAACAAACATAAAAGAAATAGAACCGAATTGAGAACCACCTTCTTTTTGGAGCCATGTAAGAGTCTTCACAAACTTTCACATTTATAATATTAGTACAATCGCTTGTATAAAACCAGATGTAATCAATAAATATTAGACTTTAGTTGTGTTTGCATGGCTGTGTTTCGGTTTGAAAGGTGGAATAGGGCAGTGAATTTACACGATACAGAGGAATAACACCCGAATCCTCAGGAATGGCAACGCATAGGTGGTATCATAGGCGAAACAGTATACTCTGTTATCTCCATGGTACTACTCATATCTATAGGCGACAGTTACCACTTCGCATCAAGTAGGCCGTCAATCTGTTTGCCATTCTAAGTTGCATAAAAAATATTAGACTTTTTATAAATAATTTGTAGATGCCTAGATAATAGTAAAATGTCAATAGAAACGATTACCTTTGCTAAATTTACACTTTGTTTAGGATTTGTAATTTAAACAGAGATTTTCCTTGAATTTTCCGTAGACCAGTTTCGTAAGTATGTTGAAATGGGGACAAGCGCATAAGTAATGTAGGTACATTGAGATTTAATTATATATTTACTTTGCCTTGCGCCTTTATTACGTAGGATACTAGACTATTTTATATTTTTATCGTAACAGTGAATGAAGGTAAGAATAATAAAAATGGTTTCATAATATTAATATATAATAGTCGAATAAATAAAGTTAACACCTGTTAATACATAAAAAGTAGAAAAAAATTACATTATTTTTGGTTGTGAAATTGTTGTTTCATTGTGTGTCAATCACGATATCGAATTAAATGCAGTTTTAGAAAAATGTAATATTTAATAAAAATTTTATTTTTTATTCCATACTACCTGACCTAGTGAAATTTGTATCGCTAGCAACGACATCTGTTGAAAGTATTTCGAAGAAGCGACTCCCATACAAAATTATTTATTTTAGTTTTTCGACTTATCAGTCGAATTTTAGGGTGTACCGACTTTTTTTCTAAACCACCTCTGTATTACAACGAATAAAATAAAAAAAAAACCCAAATTAGTCAAGCCGTTTTTAATAATTTTTATATTATAAAATGGCTAAAATTTTACTAATGAAAAATAAAATATAAAAAAAACTTTTTTTTTATTACAGATGGGCTGCAAGTTAACATTTGTGGACGATCTCCTGAACAAATCCTTTTACAAACTGGGCTTGATAGTTGGTAGACAACCCGGATATTTTATCATAGTTCCAGTTCTGTTGACTTTACTTATGATCACTGGATATCAACGGATACATTATGAAATGGACCCAGAATACTTATTTTCCCCAGTTAGAGGCCAGGGAAAACTTGAGAGGAGTATTGTGGAAGAAAATTTTAAAGTTAATTATTCTCATAGGTTTAATATAGGACGAATTACTAGACCGGGTAAGTAATATATATACCTTTATTTAAAGGCACATTATACTCGTTTACTTTAATAGGTAAGGCGCGCAATTTGCAAGTCATATTTTGGTCAGATTTGATTAAATTTTTTCATGCCGGAAAAACCTGAACTGAATGAAATCGCCCACACCATTATTTATAAATTTACGTCTATATTAATAATATAATAGGTAAATATATATAATTACACAGAAGTATACAATGATCTATCGCAAGTTTTTATATCAAATTTAGCATAGAGACTTTAGAAATAATATTATTTTCTACAATAGAAACAACAAAATAACTTTGACTTTTATTGTATGTCCTCCAAACGCATCAAAATAAATAAGTTAAATGTACAAAATTGAGAACATTTTAATCCACCATTGCATTTATATTTTATACCAAGTTTTTATGAAAATTCTTGCTAGGTATGTATTTAGAACTTTTTTGTTCATTGTTACATTTTTCTAAACAGGAAGATTCGGTCGAGTGATAATCGTTTCCAAAGACAATGACACCAATATGCTGCGTACAGAAGTGTGGAAAGAGCTCAGACAGTTGGACGATCTAGTGCAAAACATAACAGTCACTCTGCCAGATGGCGAAACCTTCACTTACAGGGAAGAATGCGCTAAATGGGAGGGGCAATGCTTCGTCAACGATATATTGAATTTGGACAAGATTATCGGCGAGGTATGTTAAAATACTCTAAACTGGACTATTTAAAGTAAAATTTATCTTATTGTACCGCACCGTCGTATACGAAGATCCCACAATTTTCGTACACTGCCAAAGGATAAAGTTCAATTCAGTTCAAACTCTATTCTTCTGTCTTTTTTATTTATATATGAGATATACAAGTAAAAAAGACAGACTATATTATGAGATATTTCTACCAAATCCAACTATTGATTTTGGTAACAAAAAATCCTATATTGGTCCTATGTTACGTTACAAATAAAGCCACTATTTTTCTGCTGAGCAAAATCTATACATAGACACAATATTCCGCGTTCTAAATTCAAATATTTTAAGTACTTTCAATTAGTGCTTTGGAACATCCCATAGTTCACGGGTAGGTTTTATTCATTTAAAATGAGAACAGTTAAAATTAATATTGGTCTATATTAATTTTGAAACAATTGACATCGCTAAGTTTTTGCGATTGATTTTCAGACTTCTTACTAATCCTGTATATATGTATAAAGTTATATTTATAATAAATACATTGTCTAACTTAAAGAAATAACCATTGTTCTTATTCATGTCAAGTGAAAAACGGTCACATAAGCACCTACATACATAAAGCATCAACTTTCATTTTCTTTTCACTTTCTACACTGAAATAATGCTTAACAATGCGTAATTATTAAAATAAGTACTTGTTACTTAATTATTATTATTTTGTTTAAGTCCGCTGCATTTATATACACGTATATTAATAATTTGTTTGACACAAGTAGGGACACAATTTTTTTATGGAAAAAAAACAGTTTAAATTATACCATCCCCATCTATTTTATTTTTATTTCATCTTATCTTAACATCAAAATTACTAGGTTATATTACTCTGTGTGATTATAGAAAGGTAACAGTGTAAAGTTTTTCTGCCCAAAAAATCCGTCTTTCAATAAAGAAAAAAACATTACAGCTGTTGTCAACAGGAAGTGGGTCCTTGAACATTCATTGTCATGGTATTCACAGTTACCTATAAATCGCAATGAAAACCACGCGTATTGTTTTAGTCAAGGCGAGTAATCGATTCCCAACGATCACTGAATCACAACAATTTAATCGACGACGCCCTCACAACAATAGATAGTTTATTACTCACAATGGTTCCTACCTAGTGCAAACCACAGGCGGTCTACGCATTGAACAATGACATCAACGCTAAATGTTACCCCACACGTGGCAACTCATACTTGGTTGTTAGTGCTATCATATTATTAACATAATAAAATTGTAACTGATAGTCTGTGCATATGAGATATTTAAGAAAAACATTATATAAGTAGCTCTAATAAGAGCATTGGAAGCCAAATTTTTATATTTTTGCCTCCCTGTAGGTTACTCACGAGATCATCTAAAAACAAATACATTTAATGAAATGCAGTTTTTACATTTGTATTCTTAAAGGTCTTATTTAAAATCTAATGTATATTTTATCTTGATACGCTGTCGAGAAATGTTTACATTTTTCCAAAATCCATATGTATAAAGCTAGTACATAATAAATACGATCCCCTAGAAAGAAACATTTGGTACGTAAGTACCTATTTCAATGGAAACGCTGAAGTAAAAATATAGAAAATATACTTATTAATATAAAGGAATAACCTTACATACTTATATTACTCTAATACTTTTCAACTGACTTTTAAAAAGGTAGTCAATTCGAGTTGTATTTTTTATGTTTGTTACCTCATAACACCTATCATTTATGAAAGGATTTAGATTTTTTTTATCTAAACTCATAGAAACTAATCAAAATCTACTTTTGCTAAATTGAATGTTGTCACAATAATCACATATTTTTTATCTAAACAAGAAAAATGTAATATTTTAATATAATAGTTTTTTTTTTATTTCAATTATTTCGAATTTATGATTGTTTAAACATTATTGTTGACAGGTGGAACGAGGCGAGTTAAATTTGACATTTCCAATCATGTTTAATCCTGTCACGTGGGAAGCTCATGCTTTCCCCGTATACTTCGGTGGTTCTAAAGTGGTGGACGACACGATAGTATGGGTGCCTGCTGTCCAACTGGTTTGGTTTGTTAGAACTGACAACGAAGTGCAAAAACAAAGGTAATCCTCCTTTAATTCTGAATTATTTAGCTATCTAAAATAATAATAATTAAGTCAATAGACTTTAAGTACCTATCTCAATAGCTACCAAATATGATTGGGTATCTACCTATTCAATGTCTGATTTTCGAACCATTCAATTTAAATTAATATCCTATACGTAATAAAAGTATTAAGGTATATTACGTCCCGTGAAAAATTCTGACATATCGACCAACATACAAATATATATGTACCTACTATCGTCTCGAATAATATCCCCTTCTATTTTAACAAAAACTGGTTATTCAAATAAATATTGTTCTAAGGAAATTACTTATAAGTGTATTATCTTTACAAACATACGATGTTAACTCATAATCTTTTGTTTGATAATTAAGGATATCCGTGCAACAAAATAATACAAAATATCTAAGACTATTTCTGTAGTACCTACGTAACTACTTCTAATCAGTTTTTCAAAACTAAGGACTATACATAATAATTGTAAATACTTAACAAAAATTTTAAATTATATAGGAAACTATGAATGATTCTGCATTAACTCAATGCTAGTCTAAAGCTACTTTTTACTTGTTTAAAAGAATACTACTATTCAGTAAACAAATGAGTGTATAGCTTAGTTAGATAATGGACATCGATCTTGACACGCTTTAAGAAATCACTTCGAATACTAAACACTACGTAATATTCGACAAGAATACGAATAGAAAGGTTAATGGTGACATAGGTACAAATGTAGGTCAAGTTTTAATGTTTTAAACTTCCTGGAAAACTATTATTTGAATTAAGACTTGTCAATAAATATCTAGTTTTGACTGATTCCGCTCGAAAATGTAACTCGAAACCTAATTTCCATTAAAAAAATATGGAAATTTAAAAAAATGAATAATGTCCTCAGTATAATCACTACATAGTATAAAATAGAGTCGCTGTCGCTGTCTGTCCGTCTCTATGTATGCTTAAATCTTTAAAACTACGCAACGGATTTTGAAGCGGTTTTTTTTAATAGATAGAGTGATTCAAGATGAAGGTTTATATGTATAATACATGAATAATATTGTAGAGAAACACTGATAAATTTAGAGGTTTCAAATGTGATGTAGTAAATAAACACATTTTTTGCGCTTACATTGCAAACGCTGGCGAGATAAATCAAAATAATGTACTACAGTATTGTACACCTTAAAAAGGTCAGCAAAAAAGTCCGCGATGGTATATGTCTATCTAGGTAGGTATATTTAGTATCAGCATTGCCTCCGTGCGAAGCCGGGGCGGGTCGCTAGTATTATATAATTACGCTCTGCTGTTACATTATCCAAAATTTTATTATCATTGTACATATACGTAGATTATTTCGTAATCAATCTATATAGTAGTTAACAACTTAGGAATATCTAATCTATAGTAATACTAGTTGATTTAATACCAAGGAATAAATAATGGTTTAGTTTAAAAGATACAGTAATTCAAGGAAGGAAATATCAACTGTTTTAGGCACGGTCGTACATGAATTAATAAAAGTCCATGAAACAAGACATGCATATGTTCGAATATAAAGGTTTTTGGCATACGCTTCTTTTTGCTTACCCTATAAAAGACTTGGTTTAAAAATAAATATTGAAATAATTTATTATATTAACTTAGTATTTAGATTAAAATGATAAGGAATGTTTCACTCAATTACAGAGGCGCAGCATGGGAAGACGCATTCCTAGATGCAGTTGGAGTAGCCGAAGACACGGGGCGATTTAAACATATATCGATATCTCGTTTCGCATCAAGAACTCTTGACCACGAACTAGAGAAGAATACCAGAACAGTCATACCATTCTTCAGTTCTACCTTCATTCTTATGGGCATCTTTTCAATAGTTACTTGTATGATGGCGGACTGGGTTCGCTCAAAGCCCTGGTTAGGTTTGCTGGGAAATATATCAGCCGTTATGGCAACAGCTGCTGCTTTTGGTTGCGCCATTTACTTAGGCATTTCGTTTATTGGCATTAACTTAGCTGCGCCTTTTTTAATGATCGGTAAGTATATACAAAGTACTAAATTTTAATAAACATGTATCTGTGTAAAGATTGAAATGTTTAAAAAAAAACTCTAATCATAAGGAACATAAATTTTCAAGCAATAAATTATTATTTATTATTTTTATTTTAAAGCCATTGAAATGTGTAAACACTATCTAAGAATGATTACCTAATTCCTTAAATGCTTCCTTATCCTGTACTTAATTGAATACTCGTTGTTGAATACCGATTTATTTATTTTCCAGGCATCGGTATTGATGACACATTTGTAATGTTGGCTGCTTGGAGACGGGCTTCCCCAAAACTTTCAGTGCCAGAACGTATGGCCATTATGCTTTCGGAAGCAGCCGTTTCTATTACAATTACGTCCGTCACAGATATGCTCTCCTTCTTTATCGGAATATTTTCACCGTTCCCCTCCGTACAAATTTTCTGCATGTATTCAGGTAATGTTAAAGAAAATTTATTATTACAGTTAGTTTTATTTTTAATCTTTTTTTTTATATTACTACCAACTAGTGATCTGATCGGGCTTGAAATGAATGCACATTGACACGTGATTTAGATATATTGAGATAATAGCAAACATACCACACATTTGATAGTAAACTTTTCTATGCTTGAAATAAAATTTATTCATATCATATATCAAATGTTAATTTTCTACTGATGAATATAGGTTTCCCCCTTGGGGAGTTTTTCCAGTAAATGCTATGCTTTGCAAGCGTAATGGCAAATGCAATTAAGTTTTGGTGATGTTTTAACAAGAATCATTGATCATTAAATTTTCTTAGTCACCTCTTACAAACCCACGGAAAGGGAAGCGGTAGCCCCATTTTATGCCGAGACCACACGGCTTTAGTTGTATATTGCCTGCAAATTTTTAAATTTAATATAATATATTATGTAATGAAAGCCAACAAAAGTATCGGACACTCTCAACGGTAGAGAGATATGATGTATACCTTTTATATTAATGTACTGGTTTCATTTTTCTTTCTTATATACGTATGTCGTTCTTTTAATAACATAACTTTACAATAATTACAGGTCTGGCAGTTTGTTTCACATTTGTGTGGCATTTAACTTTCTTTGCTGGATGTGTTGCTATATCAGGATACAGAGAAAAACAAAATAGACACACTATCACATGGATGAAAGTATTACCGGAGTCGCGAGCGAGAAAAGGTGGGCGATGTAAACAAATTAAAAAATCAGAAGCAAACACTATCAGAATATTAAAATTTCTTACAATTGCATTATCAATTTTTATTATATATAATTTTATGTATCTTTTACAGCAGAAAAGTCTTGGTTATACAGAGTATTCTGCAGTGGTGGTATAGATCCTGCTGATCCAGATAATCCCATTGACAATAAAGAACATTGTATCATGGCCTTTTTCCGTACTACGGTAGCAGATCTACTCAACAAAGGTGCAGTCAAAACTCTGGTCTTAGTAATTTTCTTGGCATACCTCGCTGGTGCAGGATACGGTGTCACAAATTTGCAAGAAGGTTTAGAAAGACGAAAATTGTCAAAGGAAGATTCGTATTCTGTTGAGTTCTTCGACCGCGAAGATCTTTACTACAGGGAATTCCCCTATAGAATCCAGGTACGATATTAAAATTACACAAAATATTTTATATTATTATCCTTTAAAATGTAAATGCAATGATATAATTTTCTTTTTCACAGGTAGTGATCAGCGGTAATTACAATTATTCGGACCCTGCTGTGCAAGATCAAGTAGAAACGCTTACGCAGAAGTTAGAAAATACATCATACATATCAAATTCCTTATATACAGAGTCATGGCTGCGAACTTTCATAAATTATGTATCGAGAAACAACGACTACTTGAACGTAACGATCGACGAAGAAGCTGATTTCATTCAGAATCTTAAAGAGGTTTGTATCAACATAGTAATTATGAACTTAAATATAAATTTCTTCAAATAAACCGTTTGTGTTTCTAACTTCGTTTTTAGTTAGAAGTGAACTCATATTTTATTTACATAATATGCAATAAACAGACTACATTTATTTTTTATTTACAGCTGTGGCTGTTTCCTGCAAATCCTTTCTCTCTAGATGTAAAATTTAACAAAGATGGTGACAGAATTATTGCCTCTAGATTTCTTATACAAGCAATTAATATAAGTGGTACAAATCACGAAAAAGAAATGGTCAAAGTATTAAGAGACATTGTTGCGGAATCACCTCTAAATGCTTCTGTATTCCACCCATATTTTATCTTCTTTGATCAGGTATGTTTTATAATTTTTACTAATCACTAATTTACCTATTTATTAGTAAGACCAACAGCTTTTCCAACAATGGCAGTAAATATTAATTATAATAAAAACCAGATAGACAATAATAGGTCTAACATTTTATTTTTTAATGGGTATTTAATGGGTAATAGAATGATATCCCCGCTTGCACATCAATCAGTATGTGTTGACGGGGCGCCAGTGAGAGATGGTAGGTGAAGGTGAAAGCAGATCAGTTAGTCCATCTTGAACATATTGACAAGAATTAACCACGATATTTTCCAGAGAGAACCACGTGGAGGTAACCTGATAGAATGTGTTGCTAGTGATAAGGCTGGTAGACCCCATTACTAACAATTCCTTTCCCCCAATTGGTCTAATATTAAAATGCATTCATTATCTTTCGATTTTTAAAGTACTCTAATTTGTTTTTTTTTTCTGTTTCAGTTTGAGCTCGTCAAGCCGACCTCAATTCAAAATCTATGCTATGGAGCCCTGATGATGATGATTACATCATTTATATTTATTCCTAATGTTCTTTGCTCGTTATGGGTAGCATTTAGTATTGTATCTATAGAAATCGGTGTAGTTGGCTACATGGCTCTTTGGGATATCAACCTTGATTCCATATCTATGATTAATTTAATTATGTGCATCGGATTCTCTGTGGATTTCACTGCACATATATGTTATGCATATATGGCCTCCAAAGCGAAATCTCCCGATGATAGAGTTAGTGAATGTTTGTACTCTTTAGGATTACCAATTGTTCAAGGATCGTTCAGTACAATTCTTGGTGTTGTCGCGTTACTTTTAGCTGACAGTTACATATTCTCCGTATTCTTTAAAATGGTGTTCATGGTTATATTCTTCGGCGCTATGCACGGCCTGTTTCTATTACCTGTACTCTTATCACTATTTGGTCCAGGATCATGTACTAAAAAGCAAGATGATATGAAAGTATCAAAAGTTGACAAATGTATTCCCCATCCATACTGTATTCCACATCCACAGTTAGTACTAAACGATCAAATATTTAACGGTAAGACACTAAATCCGAATGGAGTATACAAAATTTACGGCGATGACAAGGATTTGGGTATTGGCACTTCTGGCGAAGATACAAGCGAAAGCAGTTCTAATCAGTCACAACGTCGACAAATGGGGGAGGACGAGAATGGTAGGAAAAAATATGAAGATGGCTGGAAGAGATCTAGTTACTGTCAGAGCACAAGTCAATTTCAACCGTCTGGAGAATTGGATTTGTACAGTCACGAAATAGATAGAACTTGGCAAAGACAACGATGTGAAGACAACCGTAGAATATTCGATAATTATAGAAAAGCTCCGAGGTCAAGAGATGATGACTGGGTGATGGCGACGCGGAAAACCAGTGATACAGGGCCTCGGCGTGAAGGTGCATATAGAGTAACGCGAGCGCATTCACAACATAATTTGCACAGACCGCGTGCACCTAGACGTACCAACTCACATCAAAACCTTGAGCATTTAGACTATGTAGCAGAGATGAGATTCCCTTGACAGTGACCATTAAAATTATATGACATTTAATCAAGTGCTCAATTTGTGGACCAAAGTATTATAATAATGCCTTTGTAGGTCGAATTCCATAGTAACAAACGACCAAGAAACAATGTATGTCTGTGTTGTTATCTTCTTAGTTTAGTATGTAGTATTATTTAATTACTGTATATTTCTGTAATAGGACTCTATTTAAAATACCTAAAACATAAACCTATTAGATTCCATTAGGGAGAAATGAGGAATATAAGTGAAATGTCCCTTTAAATACGATCAAGAATATGTTTACAATATTTAGATTTAAAATTATATCATTTTATATACTTATTAATATTCAAGTAGTCATGGGAGTGTTCTAAATCGGATAAATTACGTATAAATTTATTTCATTCAAATAAAATGGACTAAGCAAATAGTTTAAGTAGATTTTAGAAATTAAGCCAAAAATATTATGTATCCAAAATTCCAACTTATTTGTACATGTATATACTATACCAAGGTGTTAGTAAATTCAATGGATCCTAATTTATAATATACTTATTATCCAACACGTGTATATTACAGTTACCTATATTATACCTTATAAACTGATAAATACTGGGGTCAATTAATAAACATATAAATAACTTATTAAATCTTATACTAGTTCCTATAAATGTACATCAATCATATTTAAGATTTCTATGAATTTGACGGTGTCGCCGCTTTGATTAGTAATGTGATAATACTTAGGTATAGTTTATAGATTAAAAATTTGATTTATTTTTACATCCAAATACATATTTATGGCATTTTTGCCAACGAATATGCCCAAACGTATTTGTTGACAAATATAACGAAATACCTATATTTCGGTAGTATATAATTAATAATAATCTATATAGGTACAGAGTGAAATCAAAGCCATTAACATCCTTGAGCTGACTTAATAGTGAAAATGAAGATATTTTTTAAATTAGAGCAAAGTGACAAAAATTTTGACCCTCCCATACTGACAACTGAACGCGCGGCCGTGTTATTTCTATAGCATACTCGGAACTTTTTGACACATGGAGAAAAATGTGTAAAAATACGCATTTTCACTAATAGAACACTCCATTGAAAGGATGCAAATTAATTCGATTTCGCCGTATTAATTTCAATAATTTGGTAAAAATTCTTTATATATCATACAATGAATTATTTTAATCTTTTGAGATCTGTTTTAATAAGTTGACTTTAATATATGTTATATTGATAAGATTTCTATATACCTACCTATACCTACAAGATACAAGATAAATTATATAAATAATTTGGTATCCAGCGAATAATACTGAACTGGACGATGTTTCTGTGAGAACATACTTAGTCGAAATATAAAAATTTTCATAAAAATGATCCCGTGAACAGTTTAGACCTAATTAGACCTTTTTTTAAATAAAGTTACTTTTTGTTACAGCCTGTATAGATAAAGTTCACAAGAAGTAACATTATAGGAACATGTACATAATGTAAGTTTACAAATAGGCATATTAAGTCTTCAATATTTCATAACAAAGCTTTAAGGTTACTTTTGTTTTTGAATCTGTAAATATTATTTGTGATATTATGATCTTGTTGCCATGTGTAAATTAACTCGAACTCGCATTAAGCTATATATACATATATACTCCTTTGCAAAAATCATACAGAGCACATGCAGCGATAAAATATTTAAAATTTTGTAAAACAGTTAACCAAATTTTAATTATTGATTATGCAGTTATATATGATGACTGACATATTCAGAGTCAATAGTTTTACTTAAATAATCTAAAATATCGTATATGTCTTTTTGTAAAAGGGTTTATATATAGGTCATCTGTAAAATTATTTAGGTATCGAAATTCCTGGCTAATCATTTATTTTTTCATTTGGGCTTTTAAATCAAACCGCTTCGTGTGACGTCGTTTACGCTATATAGACTAGAAGTATGCGAAGCGTTTTTATTAATAGAAGAAAAAGGAGATAACAGATCCGGCATCTTGTACTCAGACGCGGGCGGCAGAGTCGATTTCCAAAAAGATTCATTTACCTCGTTGATATAGTAGAAACGCTTCGGGATACCTATTTGCCCTATGTTCTAAAATTGTAGTGCTCAGTTCTAGTGTGACCTACACAGATGGCAACTCCATTATACCATAATAAAACCTATCTTCTAGAATCTAATACTTATGCAGGATCGCAACTAAATCCAATATAAAAATCATACACATTTGTTTTAGCGTTAACCTGCGCTTGAAACATCAAATGGAATTATGAATGAATATATTCACATTGACCAGTATTGGTCTTTGATCATGACTGAATAATGTAAATAGTAACTTGTTTTATATTAATAAAATTAGTTTTGATATGATTTGGTTTCTATTATACATAACCCTTTACAATTGAAGACTATATAAATAATAAATAAAATTGACTTGTTTAATAACAAAGCGGACATTATCTTTTTGCTATAATTGTTTCAAGATTCGAAGATCTTGTGAAAGAATATCTGTCAAGTAAAATCTTAAGATTCCGTTACAAAACCGATTCATAAGTGAAGCGTGTGGTCCCGGCATAGACTGGGCCACCCCTTTCTTTCCCGTAGGTGTTGTAAAAGGCGACTAAGGGCGAGGGATGGATGGCAGCGTCCCTCTTAAAAGATCTCTAAAAGCCAAAGTACGGTTGCCAAGACGCCTGCCAAGTGTGGCAACTACTGGCAAAATTTCCCTCGTGGAGAAGAGTTATGTTCAGCAATGGACAGTTAACGGCTGAAATTATCTGCTAGATCTAGGCTTGTCATAAGAATAGGTCCTGGAGTAAAAACACTGTTTTCTCTGTATGATCCTGTCGTTTATGCTGAATATTTCACTAAAATCTTTTGGAGAGAACAATATTAAGCGCTTATCTGTATAATAAATAATATTCTAAAATAAAACGCACAAACAATTATGTCATTATAAATACTGGTTTATTTACTAAATATTTTATTCGTCATTAATAAAATGACAAACGTATCATATAACTGCTTAAATAAAATGAATAAGCATTATGAACATATCACGAACATAATCTACGATCGAAAATTGTGGACACAAATTCTTTTTACAACTAAATTATACACTAAAATAATATACATTCTACTCGTACAGTCTCTTATATGCCTTTCTTGTGTATATTCTGTAATAATTGACTACAGAACAAAATAAGATCATTTGTGTGGAATCTTTCGCACAAAAATTGCTGTAAAAATGATAATTCATTATTTTCTTTAGATTCGCTTGTCTCTGATACTCTACCTAATACTCTACTAATAATTATTTGAGCATTAGAGTCAGTCACTTGTTTTACAAGAGAATTGGTGAGGGTTGTGAAAGGCAAACTTTCGGCTATACATTGTTTAGATTCGTCTTCAAGTTGAACTTCAAGATTCTGTATGAAATCCGATCGCTGAAAATAAATATATGTACATGTATTAATATCAAATACACTTACTGATTATATTATAGTATATTATAGTACTTTTTGCAAAAACGCTTTTTTCTTTTCTATTATAAATAAATCAATATAAACTATTTTATAGAATAGAAAAACAGAAAACATTAAACACAAAACAGTGTCACATGAAAAATGCATAAATCTTAACAATATTTATTACGTTCGGCATAAAACTATTAGTCATTAAATAGTAATAAATTTAGTATGAGATCGAGTCGAAAAAGAATTATAAAAATCGGTTCAGAATTGACAAAGATATCGCAAAACAATATACTGATTTTCAGCTACACAGAACAGCTAAAAATTTGTATATAGTTATTTAAACAATACACTTAGTACAAGTACGAGCTATATTGTGCTGCTGCGCAGCTCATGCAAATCTATCATATAAGCTGTGTACATTAACTTAAATTAATAAATCGTACGACTTTAATATTTAATTATATTACTGTTGTATATTATATACAGAAAACGAAATAAATATTCCATCAAGATTAATAATTCGTTAAAAATAACAAATCAACATACAGAACTATATACTCACTTCCGACAAACATGAAGCAATTACTTCCTTGGTGGGTTGCCTTCCAGATTCCTTTGTCTGAACAGCAGTATCTGATATTTGCACCTTTTCAGTCTGAGCATCAGCACATTTTAGTGGTACAGATATAGTCTGGACTTCTACATCTAACATTACAGTGTTATCAGTCTGTATCTCTATATCAATAGCTTTAATAGGAAGCATTGTCTCCTGAGTAAAGGTATCTACATCTTGTCTTATAATTTGTTCGTCTGGCAAATGAACAGTTTTCTTTAAGGCATAATCAGTTAAAACTTTCTTAGCTATCTTTATCTTGGGAGCTTTAATGCACAATCGATTTACTTCTAATTCTGTCATCTTTGCTAAATCACCAATTGTAATAATTTTTCCCTCCAGTTCTTTAAGAAACATTAACTTAGTTGTCGATGACGACAAATCACTAGCAATAATATCTATTGGGTCTGTGCAGTTTATTAAATCTGGACAAATAGGATCAATATTATTAAGATCACTAGTCTTTACAATTTCAACAGCAGGAGTTTCGTCCAAAGAAGCTAATTGAGTATCATCAATTCTCATGTTTTGATCAGTTTCATTAAAGCTCTCCACAGCCTTAGTTAGTACACTCTCAAGTTTAAACACATTGTCCAGTCTTTTTGGCGATTTCATATTTATTTGGGATCTTGTCTGTCTCTCTTGCCGTTTAATTGCAGAACTTTGCGGAGATCGAATTCCACTAGGTTCAATGTATTTTTGAACTGATATTGTTGTTGATACCGGTGGATCGTGAAAACTAACCCGTTTTCTCTGTAAAAAAAAATGCCAACAATAAAAATCGAAACAAAATTTTAACAAATTGGAAGCAGAATTCAGACTCCTTCGCAGAAAAGGAGCTGCTTTAGATAAAAATAATTTTATATTCAAAATTTGACGCTATATACAATACTAAAACAACAGTCTTACCTTGTTGGCTGGAGAAATTGTAGCATCATCTGCAATTTCAGCTAACTTTCTTTTTAATATAGGACCAGTTGGAGTACTGTCTGTAGTTGGTAAGGATCTTTTTAATTTTAAAAAAATTTCACTACTTTCATTTTCTTCAGAGTGTTCATTATTATCACTGACAGAATTATATAAAATGCGCAAATTCCTCCTGGCTGAAGTACTACATGGATTACTTTTCTTTATTTCTTCTGGGTCACACCTATCTAAATTGATAATTGGTTGCAATCTATCAGCGACAGGCATGCAAAGTCCCAACATTTGAGCTGCACGACCTCCGGTGCGTACTTGAGATTTATTTTTCTTTAAAGACAATGATGAGCTAGGACTCGTATTATTATATAAGCTTATTTCTTGTCGCGGCGGCGACTGGTCTCTTTTATCAGGCGATTTTGAGGGTGAATTTTTATCTTCCGTAAAAATTTCTGGTGATTCACATTTACCAAATGGTTCACCATTACTATGAACAGGTGATGTTAATTTTATTACTACATAGTCGTTACTAGTTTCAGGTGACGGTGACTTTTTATCTCTCACTGGACTCATAGTTTTTATTGGAGATATTTCTAATGTATTATCCAAAAAGTCCTTTTTTCTCTGTGCCTCATCTTTCAAAGGAGAAGATGCGTCATTGTTGTCCTTAGTAATTTTTAGGTCTTTATTTGATTCAGATGGGGAAATACTGGTGTTAGTTGCAACAATAAATGCACTTTCCTCAGTCATTAAATTTTTATTTGCAGTACTATCCAAAATAATGTTTTCCCTAATATTCTCCTTACTTTTTTCAGCGTGTTCATGTACTTGAAGATTATGGTCAGGCTTTATAGGTTCAGTGTCAGCATCAGCTAATTCTTGTGTTTCTGTTCCTATAATACTGTTTTCTGTATCAATGATTATTGGCTGCTCTTCTTCATCATTAACTATTATAACTTCATTAGATCCTTCAATATTAATAGATTCAGTATCCATATTTTCAGTTAAATCCACTTCTTTTTGAGAATCCAAAGCCGTTTTATTTTGTGAAATGACTGTATCATCTTTACTTTCTTGTTCTACTGGCAATTCAACTGACTGTAATGTTGCCTGATTATTTATATGAAATATATTTTGACTTTCAGAAACAGACTTATGATTCTGGTGTTGTTCGACAATAGGGTCTACTGCAACTAACGATGACCTTTTATTGGCCTGTTTTGTTGATTTTGTTGAAACAGTTGTAATGGTTGAATCTTGAGAACTTTCTATAACATCTTCAGAACATGGAAAATCTTCTGAAGAATCAGAATACTTGGCTTTATTATTCTGGGAGTTACTAGTAGCACAGGTTGACTCAACATTAATTTTATCTTTCTCTTTAAGTTTTTTATCGATTTTCAGATTTGGTTTTAAATCTAATTTAGATTTATTCAATTTTTCTGTTAAACTTTTTCTTCTGCCACTGTTCATAGAATTGTTTAGATTTTTCCTAGTCAGCCTTTTCTCGGACTGTACTTTCAGAAATGGATGTCCTTCAACCATGTCTATTGCCAACTCTTTCTCAATTCTAGATTTCTTTGTGCTACTTTTTTTCGTTGAAGACTGCTGCAGATCCTTTTTCTTTGATGGTTTTGGTGTAGTTACAATTTTAGTCTCAACTCCACCTAAAGAATCTCCGTCGATTGATTTTTTTTCAATAATAAATTTTTGTTCACCACATTCAGACAGATCCGTTGATATGCTATTATTAATACCTGCCTGATTATTTACTAACATATTACTACTATATAATGGAGTTTGATGTTCTTGGATCTTAACATTCTCACAAGAATTATTTATATGTTTATCATCAGAAATAGGAATATTATCATTATCAGATACTGTAATTTGTTTAACATTTTCCATATTTTGACCTACTGAACTATATTCATTCGAGACGATTCCATCTTTATTTATTATATCACTTTCTTTTGTTGATTTACTTTCAATAGGTATTTCTGATACATCATTATCTAGCTGTGAATCCATTTGAATAGAATGACGCCTTCCTCTCTTTACGTTCAGAAATAGCTCTGAATCGTCAAATTTTCTAGGTTTCCTTTTAACGCGTGATGGTCGTTCCGTGTTTAGTTTTGGTGGTGCAGAATTAGTCACATTTACATTACTGGTATCAGTTATTAAGGGAGATTTTGAAATATTTTCAATTTGAATTAAACTTTCAGACATGTCTTTACTTTCTTTTTGCAATGAAGATTTTTCTATTAAATTCCTAACATTTCTAAAAACTCTATCTTTAAGAGCAATTCGTGGAGTTTTTGGATCTTTAACAATTGTAGGTATAGCTTTAGTTTTATTTGAATTATCATTGCTTAATACCTCTTTTTTGTTGTCTGAAAATATATTTTCTATTATTTTAGGTACAACATCAGAACTAGGTATATTTTTGAGTATTGTAGTAACTTTATCAGATGTACTATTAGTTTCTGACGATTTGCTGTTAGTTGTTGACGTATCCTGAGAATCTGTTTTCCAAGTTGTTAATTTAAATTCATCTTGTGATTGAGAGAGATCTTGATATAAAGCAGGAATATCTTCTCTTTTTCTTTGTAATTTTTCTTTCTGATTTTCTGTTAAGTTTTTAGGATTGAATTTCCAGTTAGATTTTACTACCACATACTCTTCACCATTTTCGACAACAGTGTTAATAATTTTTGTTTCTTTTTTCTTGGTTATTTTAGCACTTATTTTTGCCTTAGGAGAAGTAAAATCATTTTTATCTAATTTTTGATTTATGGACGCTTTTGAAGAACTTCCATTAGATTTCATGATGTCTAGAGCATTTTTCACATCATTGACAAATGAAGTGTCACTATCTTTTGTGTTAAGTAAGCATGTATCTAATATGGAAACACAAATCAATTTTAATAATGAATGTTTCCCAATAATACTTAAGACCTCTATTAATTCTCCTATTACAGAAACCTTCAACTGTGAGTATGTTTTACTTTTGAGTATTTGTTTTATTGGACTAAGAAGAATTTCAATAAAAACTATTAATTTAGTCTGAAAAAAAAATACAAAAAACATGTCAATACTCATACAATTCCATGCATACATACATATCGGTCACGCCTGTCTCCCATTAGGGTAGGCAAAAACAATGGAATGCCAAATGCTTCGAATCAAGCAAACATCTTTCGCATCCTCCACATTCATTCAACATTTCATACATGCTCGCCAGTTACGGGTACTTTTAATTAGGCCCTTCTTCAGCATGTAGCCTATTTATAAATCTCTTTCGCAATTCTTCTTTCACCCATTTTTTCCAAACGGCCAAACCAAAGCAACATTCCCTTTGCGATTTTTGTCACTACATCGTCTTTCAGTCCATATTCTCTCACATCATTCATCAATAATTTAACATTATAATTATATAAGAAATTATTGAACAGTAATAGACTGGTTCCTTCCCTGACAAAAATTACATTAAATACACTATCGGGACTTAACGCGACGCAATTTATATAGTACCTACATGCTTAATTTTATTGCCGAAATTACGACGTGGGTTGCACCATGCCGTAGTTACGACAAGACAAGCAGCCCGGTCATTTTCTTCGGTCGCCCCCACATTGTCACCATTATCGTCTAGATGCACCCTACACTCATGGTAACTACAATGCGTATATTAAGCAAGTTATCAAGCGTGTCTTAAACATATACTTCAAAACATCGGCAATAAAAATCAGATATGTAGATAGTATTTACCTGTAATTGCGTCGCATTAAGTCTTGATAGTGTACAAGTATTTTAAACGAGTAAATAATGAGAAAGTTTAAAATAAAAAATTACATTGTTGCACCTCACACAACGAGCTTGTACTTACATCATTTTCTAATAAAACAGCAAGCAATTTCAAAACATTAATTGTAGCTGTTACAGCATGTAGGGCCAATGATTCATTTTCATCTTGTAATAGACTTGTCATCAAAAGAACAAGGGTGTCCACTAATATTGGGAATTCTTTTTCAACACTTTCATAACTTTCCAATTTATGGATAACATTTGTTAATATTTCAATTTCTTTTCCACAAGTTATCTTTGCTAAAAGAGAAATAGTTTTTTGAAAGTAAGTACAGATACTCAATATTAGTGTAAATTTATGAATTATACAATGTCATATTACTAAAGAGTCATCAAGGTATATCAAAGTAACAAAGCAGCACCCAAGTTGCTTCATTTAAATAATAATTATGTACATTATAAATAACTACATTCTAATCCTCAGACTTAAAAAAATTAGAAAATTGTTATTGTTAATAAGGACAAAACTATCTTTAATATAAACATATACAGAAAAATTGAGACTATATGTACTAAGAGAATAACTATAGCATTAAATAATAAATTTTGATATAAAAAAATGCACTAATTTTGCCCCATTTAGTCATTTTTGTCACACTGAATTTACAATGGCCATTTTATAATTCTATTGGTAATAAAGATTACTGTTAGTAGATCTTGGATGAAGTCTAAAGCTGTGCTTACTTTTGATATAATTAATGAATGTTTTTTCTAATTATCTGTATCCCTCAGAGTTAATTTTTTTTAACTTTACTTACTTTTCGAATCCACTAAATTATATTTCACCAATGCAAGAGCAACAGAAAGCATGAAATATTTATTTGTATTTGTAATATTTAAAGTTGACAATATTCTTGTAATCTCTTTATTTAAATTTGTCTTCTTAATTTCAGAATATACAGCACCATATAATGAATACCATCTTAATGCAGATACCCTAATCTGAAAAGTAGAAAACTAGAGTCAAGGCATTTAATACATAGTAATACATCTACATACATTTTATTTCTATTTAATTTTAATGACATAGTGACTAGCAACATATATTGATAGCTCAGACAGGGATACCATTCTGTGATTTTTCATCCACTGTGATTTTTGGGTTTTTATGAAAATTATAAATTAATAAGTTGTTAAAATTTAAATAAGTACAGTAAAAGCTCCTTATTCACGATTTCTTAATTCGTATTTTCACTATTGGCGGTTTAAACAATTGCGACCAGATTCCTATATTCGCGGCTAAAGATTTCTATATTCGCAATAATCGGTGCATATTATTAAAAAGGATTCAGTGTCCTTTGTAAATGCGTCGGCGTAAGGAGTAATAAAAAAGCAAAAAAGACCTTATTATAACCACACCTAAAGTATGTTGTCAAATGTTATTGCTGTATAAGTGGTTCAACTTTCCATATTCATGGTTTCTGTAATCGCGGTATATTCACGAAACATGTACGCTGCGAATAAAGAACTTTTACTGTATATGTAAATTCAGTGATTAATATTTGCATGCCATTTGATGTGGCGAAACATAACGAAATCTTGTAAATTTGACAAATGCAACATGTTACATTTTACAACATTCTAGCAAATAAAATTTATTTAATTTCTTTTAAAAAAGCATCAGTCCAGATAGATATACAAATTGCACTGTGCATATAAGGTAGAATATTCTCCTCTCATATAGAAGAAAGTAATTTCTAATTTATTTTCAAAATGTGTAATAGGTATTAGGTTTTTTCTTTGGTACTAATCACTAAAGATCTTGTAATAAACTGTGTTTATAGTATAAAAATGAAACCCGTATATAAAACATACCTCAGAAAATTTACTAATATACTTCACTGGCCACAGTAGCAGTTCATATAAATTACTTTCAGAAAGTTCTGTCATTTTTTCAAACACTGACTCGGCTAGTGCTGTCCACAGGATCAAAATATTATCATTTGGATGTAAATTCTTCAAAATCCAATCCATTAACTCATCTGAACAACATAATGTTTTATCCATAATAAAATCTGTCACTGGTTTCAATCTTTTAACAGATTGTTGTTCATCATCACTGTAATTTTAAAATAAATATTAATAAATAAAAAAATATTTATAATCCTACATGCTACATCACATGATGAATTAATCAATCAAAACTTTTCTCTTTAAATCCAAATATTAGTATAGACAAACCTTTTATAAAATAAATTTGATGCTGGACCTAAAAGAATTTTAATAATTTTGTACATAGGCCCATCATATTTTGGTACCTTTGTTTTGAGAAGGGCCTCAATCTTTTTATCACAATGATCAAATAATGAGAAAACCAAAGTCAATATCATGTCTGACACCTTATCTAGAGGTATATCATCCTTCTCACAATCCTGAAATTTTTAAAGAATTATATAATTAATTTTGTATTATTAATAATTATATACGAAATCAACTGTACATTAGTAAATGTAATTAAATATTGCGGTCGATTCTGTGGAACCATTTCTCTAAACCTACCTCTTAACCTAATATTCATCATACATGATATACATACATATAATTACCTTCACCTACCTACAAAAAATTTAGTTCATATTAAAAAATAAAGATTTCACTGTAAATTTAAATTGAAATTTTAATTTTAGAAATAAGTTTAGAGATAGCAACTCAAAATATTTCAATACTTACAATAATTATTTTATTAAAGAAAAATATATACCTGTGTCACTTTCACTAACACTGACAGTAATTCAGTAAAAATATCTTTTCTGATATTATTTGCAGGCAATTCCCCAATAGTCAAAATAAATGACTTCCACAAACATAGCACTTGAGCTGTTGTAATTCCAACAGGTTCATTTGCTACTATGAATATAGTTTTTTGAAGGGAATATGCAAAATGATTCCAATAACTCACTAAAGTATTTGTATTAATGATTCTTCCATTGAGTTTTAGCAAATTTCCACAACCGTTGCAATCTAAATGACCAGCGATTTCAATGAATGCTTCAATGCCTAATTTCTTAGTTTCAAACGACAATAATCCAGGTACAAAGATAACTTTCTGCGGTACAACATTTTTTCCAAAACAAAAATGTAAGAATGATATTATTACTTGATCTATGAACTTGTCTATCTTATGTTGAAACTGTCTTATTAAATGCCACCATGTTCTAAATTTTGCGATAGCAATATCTTGGGATTTTGCATTATTTGAATGCAGAGGTATTAGTAACAGTTTCAACCTTTTAGCTAAATAAACTTCATTTGTCTCTGGAAGGAAATTATCAATTAATACTTCCCAACATAAAAATGCACGACATCGATTTATAGCATCCATCTTGAAAGCATTTTCGACAACTGGCAACAGTGAGTTAATGGGGCTTCCTAAGTTTGTATTGCTGCGTGTTATTTGATTTTTTAATAACTTTATAAAAGCAATCCACAACCGATACCAGTTACAATTGCCACTTTCCAATAAATTCTTCATAATTGCAGGAAACCTAAAACATTAATTTAAAATTATACATACGAACAGTGGAAATATTTGTATATTTATCACTGACTTCCACGCATGTGTGTGTGTGTTTATGTATATCTAACATTGAAATCTAAGTGCCCAATTTTAGTTTTGAAGATCAACCAGTTTTTGGAGATTACCTTTCAGTGATAATTATAGATAACTATTATTCACTTATCATTTCAAACATCATTATCATTTCAGCCATTAACTGTCCACTGCTAGACATAGGCCTCCCCCATAGACATTTCAATGCATAGACGAAATATGTCGAATAATCGGGACAAAAGTAGCCTATGTAAAAGTGGTTATTTTCATTCCAAATACTATGTCAATACCAAACTTTATTAGGATTGTTGAATGAGGGTCCAATAAGCAACAAATAAATAACCAAATTCAGTTTCATATTTATTAAATAATAATAGTAATAAGGAATAGTAGTAATAGGAATAATAGTAAGGTATAAAAACTTACTTTTTTGGATTATAAATAGATTCAAAAAGCACTTCCCATTGTGCATTACCAGCATAGTCTATAGTCTTAACTTCGGCTGTTAAACATTCTAAGGTAGTTATACTTTTTGAACTGTTCAAATTTACCACAGCATCGACTATAGTTGGTACCAGTTTGAAAAAAATACTTAAGAACTCTTGCACAAACACTGTTTTCTTTTCTTGTGGTAGAATGTTTATCAACTTGTAAACTATATCACATAGCTGAAAATATAAAATACAACATTCATATAACATGACATAACATAAAATGTTATGCTATGATATATATATCGAACTGGAAACACTGGAAAACTAGTTCATCTCCTTGAATACCACTGCCCCATTCCTAATTGCCACTATAGAGCTATGCTTGCAGTTGTTTAGAGTTGAAGTATGGTATATAGCAATGAAAATATAGGGTATTGAATCATTGATATCATAATATATATGTCAAGTCCATGACACTATGCATGTCTATATATACCATCACTGCCATTTTTTTACCATCACTAGTTGGATAAAAAAATACATACAGCAGTTATTTATAGACAGAAATACTACAAAGTAACAAACTAAAGAACTTAAATGAAAAGAAAATAATTTTTCAATAGTACTGTTACATTATCATAGCTAGATTGATTTTCAAGATATAAATATGTAAATAGTAGTTTTTAATTTATTAAAAATGACAGTTTGTACTTAAGTTAGTTACACTTCTGTAGTATTAGCAAATAGCAGAATGATTCATAAAAAATTAAAGGAAGGGTTAGTAATAATATTTTATATAAATAAAGACTACTGGAGTTACAATACTGTTATTTAAGAACTAATTACACTATATGACCAATCAACAGATTATTTGTAAATAAAAAAATATATATAAAACTCATTGAGTTAACATAGTGACATTCATCGAGAGAGAAACTTGATGACTGTCCATAGTGTAGGCAGCTGTATAGTATATATGGTACAAGGGTCATTTGAAAATTTCTTAGCCTAACATGGTAAAAATCATTGTTTTTTTTTTATAACTACCCTCATTTTGTAGTTACATTATTTAGCAACAAGTATGCACAGTTTAGTTTATTCACAGTAACTCATTGTTCGTTTACACGTGATACCGTAAGTCAAGTCAGAGCTATTTTTGAAAATGGATAAAATTGAACATCGTGCAGTGATAAAATACCTGAATTTGAAAGGTTTAACTGCAAAAGCTATACATGAAGACATGTCTGCTACTTTGGGTGAGTCCGCTCCTTCGTATGCGACTTTTAAAAACTGGGTGGCAAAGTTTAAACGTGGTCGTGAGACCATTCAAGATGAGCCCCGTAGTGGCCGGCCTTTGACTGCTTCCACTGATCAAAACAAAGAAAAAATCTGTGATTTAATTTTATCTGATCGAAGATTGACTGTCCAGGAGATAGCTACGACTGTAAGCATCTCATCTGAGCGAACACATCATATAATTACTACTGAACTGGGATTCTCCAAGGTGTCTGCGCGGTGGGTACCGCGACTGCTTTCAGTGGAACAAAAACGCAACCGACTCACAACTTCTCGCTACTGTTTAGAGTTATATGAAGCTGACCCAATAGAATTTGTTGAAAGATTTATAACCATGGATGAAACCTGGGTTCACCACAATACACCCGAGACAAAAGAACAGTCGAAACAATGGAAAAAAGCAGGATCGCCCACCCCAAAGAAGGCAAAGGTGGTTTTATCGGCGGGCAAAGTCATGGCATCCGTTTTTTGGGATGCAAAGGGTATAATTCTCGTAGATTATTTAAAAAAGGTGAAACAATAAACTCCGATTACTATTATATCCTGTTGCGTCGTTTGAGAGAAGAAATCAAAGAAAAACGTCCAGGTTTATTGATTAGAAAAGTCTTGTTTCATCAGGACAATGCGCGCATTCACACCTCTGTACAATCCATGGCAGAAATAAATCCATCAATTTGGCTTCGAATTGTTACCTCATCCCCCATATTCACCGGATTTAGCACAGTCTGACTTTTATCTGTTCCCAAAGCTGAAAACATTTTTAGGTGGTAAACATTTTTTTACAAATGAAGTGGTCATAGCCGCGTGGACGATTATTTTGAGGAGTTAGATGAAGTTTTTTTTAAAATGGATATCAAAGTGTTACCAGGTCGATGAAAAAAGTGTTTTGAGCTCGGAGGAGAATATGTTGAAAAATTAAAATTAACTCAAAATCGTGTGGTTTCATTAAGTATGTTAGGCTAAGAACTTTTCAAATGACCCTCTTACATAACTTTATATTAGATAATCTATTTAATATACTCACCACTTCCCTGACAATAATAGGTATTCTTGAATGACAATATAAATTAAACATCTCAATCAATTCAGCAGATTGTGAAGTGGCTATTATAATAAGAATATCATCAGGGTATAACAATAATGTCTCCAAACACATACTCTGCAATGACTCCACTCTACCAAGTACTGCCAATGTTTTCATAATGTTTATAATAGCCAAGGCTGATGGCAGTAGTTGCTGTGGCGGTGACAATTCTTCTACCTTTATATTACATAGATTTCATTTAATCAAAGATTATTACAAATAAATACAACTGATCATTTTAAAGCACATAATCCTAACCACAGAAGACATGCAGAGTTAATACTTTCTCCCTGTTCAATTAAAAAACATCATTCATCACCTAGAAGTATAAACAATAATAGACATATTTGTGATATTTACAGAATATTTTATATTAAATTTGAATGCATGAATGAAACTCTTTATTGTTTCCTCAAAGAAAAATATAACTTCATAAAATATATAAACAAAAAAATTAAAGTGGATAAAGAAATATATATATGTAAGAGACTATTGGCCCTGGATTCTCTCTGCCTACTCTATAAATGACTTGGCTTAAAGACAGATATAGATATAAATAGTATTACAAGAAACAAGCTAAAGAGGCAACATTAAGGTAGCATTATTACTTAATTTTAAAATGTAAACAAATAACATTGTTTTAACAGCTAGTTAAAATTTTTCAAATTGATCACTGGCTGAAAAGGTTACACTGTGATGATTCTATATTATAAGTAAACATATTTTTTTTATTTTATATTTTTATAACATATACACATATTTACAAGTAGATATATACCATAGCTCTGCTTATGTGAATCAGTACATAAAGTATCATATCATGATATCATATCAGCCTTTAACTGTCCACCACTGAACATAAGGCTTTTTAAATGAATAATAATGAATGGTAATCCTGTGTTAAATGATGACCAGTGGGTGATGAGAAGTGTGGATAAAAAAGCAGGTTAGTTAGCCGATTGTGATAGATTCACTTGGATCTGAGCATGATGGTTTCCAGGAGGAACCGCCAGGAAGTCAACCTGACAAGGTGTATTGCAAGCAATGGGGCTAATAATCCTCATTACTAACAATCCATAACACAGTTAGGCGTGGATGACATTTTAAGAAGGACACTGCCCATCACTCTATCATTAATTAATGTATCATATGTGCTAAGTTAATGTATAATCTACCTAAAGCTGTTCAGTAGTTTTTGCATGAAATACGCATGAAATTGGATTGCAAGTGTGATAAACATCAAACTAATCATTGTTACAATTTTTCACACTTATTATATTAATAATAGGATAACACATTCCACTGTAAGTAGATTTATTGCACGACTGTTTTCTGAGTACCTTATGATAATTTTGTTTAAACTAAAACTCAAATAGCTAATAACCAATATACATGCTTACCTTGACTTTTTTTAAGATACTGGAAATTATCAACAACACATTGCCACAATATTTTTTATCATCCTTCATGGCCTCCATACATATAGACATGATTCTATCCACAATGGAATCACTTAGTCCAACTCCATTATCAAGTGCATTCTGAACCAATATATAATTCTGGTTCCTTGCTGTAGGTGTGTCAAAGGTATTCTCTTCTAGAACATCTAGGACCCTGTATAGGTCAACACATGAACTTTCTTCCATCATCGCTGCAATAAAATATGGATTTAACTAGAAAATAAATTGCAAACAATATAAATAACACCTAATCATATTATTATATGGCCCTGTTAAAATTAGATTTTATCTAACAATTTAAATATAAAGACTGAGATTAGTAATTACTTCTATTCAAAAGATAGAAAAGTGTAATGTACAATACCAAAATTTGTCATGTATTTTCACTGCAAAAATATAGAAAAGGCCGATATATTATTTTAAAACACTGTCAACAAAAATCAACATTTTGACATAACACACATTTCTGGCGCGAAAACCATTGACAATCCCTAATGTTCTAATCCTACTTGACACAAAAGTAATATGCTTATACATCTATCATAGACGTAGATTCCATAGACATTATGTCTGTGGTCAAAGATTTCGTTCTGTGGTAGATAGCTTCATGGTTCATGTTGTAATTAATAAATTACAACGATTAAAAAAAAATCTATATGGATGTTACCATTTAGAATGTAATTCGTTTTTTGGTGAAGTTGGCAATCACGCATTTTCTTAATATTAAATTGGCTTCCTTTTTATATTAATGTTTTTGATGGGATATCATTACTTTTTATATAGAAAATGTTATACGCTCGTATAACTCTACCAAATTCAAATACAACTTGCTTGCGTACTTTTTACATAAACTGTGTCGAATATATAAACTAGTAATGTAAAATTAATTATTGACAAGTAATTGACATATCAAACATTTTTTATACACTAACCTGCTATGAATTAAGAAAAAAGCAACTAATGGTGTATCTTTCGTCCTCTTTTTACTAATTATATTTGCATAAGAAAAAAGGAGGCAACCATAGGATTTAGAGTTTTTATTTTATCATTCCTTCCACGTAATTCCTTATTCTTAAAGATATAGCCCCTCTACTTTCTGCTTTAGACTAAGAACAAGGAATAACATATCTTTGTATTTAGACTATGTCTCTATCTGCTTTTCCTCCTCTCCGCCCTTGCCGTATTTTGCACTCCAATGTCCATTACCCCTTTCCTCGGTACAAGAGGCAGATACGTCTAGTCGTTGGAAATCGGCAAAAATTTAACGAAATTAAAGTTATTAATAATATTATTAGGAACAATCCCGACGTCGACGACTACAATAATAGTTTTTAATTTTACATAACTAAAATATATATTGTTTTTAAAGATTTTCTTCCACAACAAAACTGACTTCAATCGTGACTTGACGTGACGTGACAAATTCAAACAAATTTTATTTAAAAAAATAAATGACTAAACCAATAATGATAAAACTTCTATGAAACTAATTTGAATGTGTATCCTTTCAAATAAAAAAAAAGGTCTTTTCAAATTTGTTTATAAAAGAAAAAGTTATAAGGTTTCAATTTGCCTGAAATTTTTTATTAATATAAACAAAAATAAACTTCTCTGTGATAGATTCTGAGATATTGCTAGTAATATATTCTTTCAGGTCGACCTCCCTTGAACACTGTCGTAGTAACTTGTAGATAAATTCATCGGCCAACTGACTTGCTTTCATCTTCACCTATTATTCCTTACTGGTAGCCTACCAACTACATGTACCATTAGAAACTTTTTGAAGTAGTGCACTGTGTAGTGTATAGTGATACCGAATATTTTTCGTAATGAAACATGGATATGGACCCATCTTCGGAAAAATAAATTCACCTTTGGGTAAAATGTCCACCCACACATAACTTGGAGAGTACAACTGTTAAATTAGTAGCTATGGAAAACTCGAAATTTTTTGTCGTTTTATGATAACAATAGTGCGACAGTCGAAGACGTTAATTTTATTGATTATGGTAATGTATATCTATACTACTACTTACCCTACCTCCAGATAGATACTTGCGCCTCAATATCTACCTGTAGGTAGGTAGCATTTATTCACATTTTTATTTTTTACACCATCTAGTTGCTAGTAAGTCAAATTTCTGCTTAATAATAGATAGCTTTCAAAAAGGTAAACATTCAACTCCATTGGGGAATAATTTTGAAAACATTCTTTAGCTTGTATGTTAATAAGGTTTAAAATACTTTAAAAATATATTGGTTATAAGTACCTACAACCGTTTTTACATGAAAAGCTATCTACAAATACTCATAGAAATTCCATAAATCATTATTTTCATTTCAGTAGCCATAAATTACTACTAGTATTAGTACCCATAAAGCACACTTTTCAAAATTGATTTCGTTCCGATTTTATTATATATAAATAATATTAAGTTTCTTTATTATACACTACAGTAACCATTGCCATCAGACGGGCTCTATGCTTGTTTGTCACCTTCGTGATATAAAAAATGAACAAATTTATTTTTGACTAATTACCTACGGAAACATATTTTTTCTATATTGATTCAAGTTCCAGTGTTCCAAGTTGTATCCATTATGTACATCTATGATGTTAGTAGTCCAGTTTTGCATAACCAGGATAACATAAATGATTCATTTGGCAATAATTATTGCTAATTATAATCAGTAATCATCATTAAGTAGTTGGTAGCAGGTACCTATTGAATTTATACTTTTTCAGTAATATACCATTAGTTGCTTGTCGAATTCGATCACCTTTATTTTAGCCGTGTCCACGAGTAAAAGAAAATTGCTTTCCAAGTTTGCGTGCAAACATTTCTTTGGATTTAAGTAATCTATTGCATCTTCTCGAGTGGTCGCCAGTTCGTTACGCTGCGCACACACTTTACTTCGAAGGTGCCGGGACCTGCGCTCGCGCATGTTGGCTCATAAGTCTTCCGTCGATTGCATCGTTCGCTTGTCGATGTCCGTACGATCCGTGCGAAGCATAATAAATAGTGTTCCAAGCGAAACACATAATACAACTCCATATGTGGATGAGACGTGCAAACGAGTGGTAATGGTTAGGTATGTGGACGATGCATAGTGTTTCAGTGCGCAAAATATCGTCCCACTGTGACAACTCAGTATAAAAAGTATTTAAATTATATCTAAATGTTAGTAATGCCCGGACAAGCTGGAAGCCCATACTGGGCCGCTGTGGACTTCGACAGCGAAGGTGATGACGGGACACCTCCTCCAAACCACCGAGTTTACCTCGATCCATGGGACAACGAAGCCTATGGGATACTGCAAGCAGAGACAGCAGAGTCCAGTCAAGAGGAGAATTTGAATTCGTTCATCGGAGAACCTGTCAGCGCTAGTTTTTACTATGTACCAACAAAAAATTATGACTCTATCGAAGAAGCGCCTACGCCTCCCAGAAGAAATATAACGCCACCAGAACAAATTATTGCATCTGAATATGCTTGTTATGGAAGAAAATTATCCAGACCGGTCATAAATGATGTTCACCCCGATTTCGCAATTTACGGAGAAAGACCGATGCGTAAGAATTTATTATTTTTATTATTGATACTTATAATAGTTTACATAGATATATATACCCATTTAGAAACCATACTTACACTATAATAAAATGTCAAATCTGGAAAAATAATTTCGATAAGAAACTACGCCACTGTATTAAAATCTTCTTTGAAGAGAGGCGATTGTCAGTGATGGAGAGATGGGAACTAGCGGCCCTATTGCTAACAATATATCCTGTTGGCTATTTCCATTCAATTTCCATCCATCGACGGGGACCGTCCCCGTCGTTGGAATGGAAATTGCCGTATTTAATTCCTGGTGGTGGTTAAAAATAATACTTTATTACCTCACCACTCCATCCATTATAGCCTCACAAATAGTCGTCCACGTTTACCCCCATCATTCTTTACGCCAGTTCTCCCCTGAAACTCCGAGCGTTGAAATTGCAAACATAGTCATTTTACTATTACCTTTTTACTCATTAAACCCTGTATGTCTTATTTACAAAAAAAAATCCAATATTACTTACAAATACCTACACGATCTTACTCTTTACTCATCTACACTTCAATTTTTAATTGAAGTTAATTTATTTTTAATTTTAAAAATTAAATAAACAAATATTTTTTTTATTATGAAATTTTATACAAAATCAGCCAAACGTTATTCTGCCATACAAATATTTTTTTTCTGCATAGGGACACTATAATCACCTAGCGATATGAAATACACTTTACGACCTATTCTTATACCTACAAAAATACATTAAAAAATTCATAAAAATCAACACAGCCGTTTCGGAGGAGTTCGACCACAAAGCACGGTCTATTCTTCTTATAAGATTATTTACACTCCTAGCTTATAAAGAAAAACCCACTTACTAAGCTACTACGTAAAGGAAGTAGTATTTTTAGTAGTAGATTTTATAGATATTAATCTATAAAATCAATTTTTACTACTTCCTTTACGTCTCCATGATCGACTGGTATGCATAAGACGAACTATTTAATGGGATGCCATGCATGACATGAAAATGGAGGAAGCAAGAGGCATAGCTATGTAAAGATTAAGGTCGTTGGCATTCGGTTCTCTCTGTCTATACCGTAGTGGAGGTAGCGTGAGTGCAAATGTATTGTATTATTAGAATACTCTTACTAATGTTATAAATGTGAAAGTTTGTAAAGATATTTAAATGATTCTTATCATAAGATGTTATCATTGATATAGAATATGTCCTAGATAGGCAACTTTTTTCTAATTCTCGTGCGCAAAGAAAACTAGTATCTTATAATGTAATATGAAAATATTTATGAAAAATAAAAAATATATTATAAAATAAAAAATATATTTCATCTACTTTTTGCAAATACAATAGATATTCAATTGCAGATTTACAACAAGTTAGGTACATAGGCACTTATTTACATATTCTTTATTACCACTGAGCAAGTAATTGTTACCTCTTTGGTGCCTATAGATACCTACTAAAAAATAATAACGATATGCATGACTAAGCATAAAATTACCAATCAGTGGCCAAATATAGCCACTTATATATTATAGGCAGTTTTATAGTTACCAAATATTACTTAGTAATTAATTTCTTCTAGTAGTATATAGTTGATTGGTACTTTGGGCAAGTTTAGATGTTTCTATACAGACGCATTAATTAAAATTAATGTAACTGTTAACAGCATTTTGTTGTCGATAGCATTTTTTATAATTATGACAATTCTTATTAAAACTAAAATACTACTACATGCATTCTAATTTCAAAAATTCATAAAAAAAATTACGAAAAGGAAGTATAAAACAGAGATAGACATTTTTAGTCGCATCTTTGGCTGCGAGACTCAATTGGATGAAAGTAAAATTTTGCATATAGAACCTGTTATTTAGAAATTGCCAAATTTGCTACAACAACATTATTAGAACTAACCAGTTGATCACAAATAATTTGAATTCCTAATTTCCTATATTAATATCCTTACTAATATAAAGGTGAAAGTGAATTTTTCGTCGTCAATGAAATTTGATATACACGTATTATTTGTATTTCGAATGAAAAAGGATAAGGGCTGTTATTTATCCCGATCAATTACTCGTGTATCCCGGCCACGCGGATAAAGTTCCCGTGAAGAGATTATATCGTAAAATTAAATGTAAAACAACTTTTTTACGATACTTAAACAAAAATTGAAGATATGGTTAGGTTTGCTAGAATAATAAATGAGGCCGTCGGCCGTAGCCTGATAATTTATTACGTCGTCGTTCATACAAAACTATTTGTTGTAAGGTTGTAAGTTCGAATTTGGCTGATAATTATTCCACAGAGGAAGTACGTAACTAGGTATGTATATTTCTTATGTGATTATACTTCGTGAGTCAATTTAAATATCTAATTTTCTGTTAAATGTAAACATTATTAATAAAGATATTCAATACAAAAGAACGAAAGTAAGTTATAAAATCCATTTATGTTTGATGAAAGATGAAGTAATGAACTTAGACCAATTGAGAGTCACTTTCACTATAAGTTATAACAGCTAGCTAAAACTACCCTACCTAGATTTATATAATAATGGATAAAAAGCTATAGCTTATATACTTCTCCATAGCATATAGTACGTATATACCAAATTTGATAGTGATTAGTTAAGCCGTTAGGGCTTTATAAGCAAACAAACAAACAAACTCACTTTCACATTTATAATATTAGTAAGTGTTGACATACGGGCTTTGAATATATAGTGTATACACGTAAAATTCTTCAGAAGAGAAATATAAGTAAGTTCCTATGGTTTGAAACCCGCGATATTTAATTTTAATCGTCTAATTCTCAATTAGGTTAATATTTAGTCGCAGATGTTACGAATTCACCATTCAACCTTGGAACCGGTCAATAACAAACTAGTAACTTGTGGCAAATATCAGTATGTTCGCGCATAATTTTATTTATATTAAAATTCCTACTTCCATTAAATGCCAACAATCATCAGTATTAATATACAAATATACGTATTTTAGACAATGATTTATCAGATATTATGTAAATATATAGATACACATCTATACCTATCTAGGTGTACAATAGCTAAGTAAGACATAAAACGACCGGTCGTAAGTTAATGTAACAATGATTGATTGAACAACGATCAGATAAAAAATGTCGTTTAGAAAGTTAATGACTTGCACACACATGATAAAAAAAAGATTATTCTGATCGTTGTTGGTACGACACACACAAAGTCGTATATTCAGACACAATGAAATGTTTATTTTATTTAAGACTAGCTGAATCCTAGAATCCTATCCTATGCTAAGCTAGGGCTACTACTTGTGTATCAAATTTCATTCAAAACTGTTCAATAGTTTTTGCATGAAATAGTAACAAACACCCAATAAATAATAAAACAATTGTTAGAAACACCAATTATAGTAAGTTCACAAAATTTCCGTTACACATATGTATAGGTAGATATAGACATTGTTAAAAATTAGCATAAAATTTAAAAATAATATAAACCTATTTACCTGTCTACAATTCTAATAGTAGATATTAGTGTCATATATATTATGTCTGTGTAAGTAACAAAGAAACAAATTAATTATTACATTAGGCTACTTTTTATTTTCGAAGATTAATAAGTGTATTCCGCGGTCACGTGATGGAAGTGGCAGGAAAAAAACTAGTATGTAATATATAAATATATACAACATATATACATCTTTGTTTCAGGAGATCGCCGAAGATCCATGTATATAGAAGAGCCAATGTATTCACCTCACCCCATTCTGTACGAACCATTGTATGGTCCTATACCACCGCCACCTACGTACATACCTCCACCTCCAAGATCTCGGATGTCATTGCCGCACTACCCTGATTATATGATGGCAAACCTTGGACAGAAACATAGAAGGCATTCCAGGTGATATATAACCTTTTATACTCTTGTAATAATTTCATATTTTAGGAGTCCGATAAATCGCTTGTTTTAATATTTTTTTACGTAACTTAGAATGTTAAACAAGTTGACGGCCCTCCTGATGGAAAGTTACTACTTTCCGTCTTACTACAGTAACCATTTCCTATAGACATGAACAGCCACGATACAGTATGAACATGAGATGTAACATCGATTCGACTCATCGGTATCAAAATCTTTCTTTCTTGTAGATTAATATAGTCTTCTTATATTTTTTCTTTTTGTAATAATTTCTTTTCTACCAAAACTTAATTATCAATTCGTCAACGAAAAAAGCGCATCATTTCTCATGTCCCTGTTCTTGTAATTACTACAAACTGCTAGCATTAGTTGCTAGTATTCTATAGGCAATTATTACTTCAATAAAAAAAAATTCGATAAAAAAAAAACTTAAACACAAAAGGAAAGGAAATACAATCCACAAAAAAAAACAGCAATATCAATCGTGGTATGATTTACTTTTAATAACTACCCACGAATTATTATATATAACTACTTATGTCATTAATTTGTTTACCTAATCGCAAAAGTGACATACAGTGACATAACTCGTATCTTTATGCTTCACTAACAGGGTTAAGTACTAATAAAGCACAGGTGAAATTTACATTTACGAATAGATCTAATGTGTTGGTAAAACAGCGAGCGTGAATCGGCACTTATTTTGGTTTCTTTGCTTAGCTTATTTTCAGAAATATATGTAATTTATTACATGAATTGACACATAAAAAACGTTTATCTTCAGCGGAAATGAGAACGCTGATGAGGTTTATGTATGAAAGAACGCGGTTAGGCACATTTACATTTCGTTCTGTAAAATGTCAAAACCTATGAACAATCAGATTTTTTGTAGACGAAATTTAGAATGTGGAATCGTATGTCAAGAAATAGTTTTTGCTTTGCAACAAACAGTGTTTGCTCAATCAGAAATATTTCAATCCTCATAAAGTTAAATATGGAACAAATTCGGACCTAAATCCTATTTGCAAAAACAAGGACCAAAGTAAATTAAGTATTGATGATATCATTTACAGTTCATTATATTATCTGAATATCGTAGTTTTGGGTGATTTGGCAAATGTCATTAAAATCTTTTCAGCTGTTTCAAGAGTTATTAAGTAACAAATTTTTCTTTTGTAATATTACCTACAATTACCTATTTTTTTTTTATTAATATATACGATTCTCGTAATCATTATCATCATGTCAGCCGTTAATTGTTCGCTGCTGAACATAGGCCTTCTTTCATTGACGAGCTTTGCTAGTAGTTGCTACGCTTGGCAGGTGGATTGGCAATCACAGTTAAACTTTGGTAATGTTTCTAAGGGGGACGCTACTGCTCATCCCTTAACCATTAAGTTCCCTTAGTTTCCCTTACGACATCCACAGGAAAGAAAGGGTGGCCTATTCTGTGTTGAGACCATACGGCGTATATAGTATATATATTCGTATTTTTATATTATATTATTATGTTGTATATGTAGGTACAAGATACAGTTAGGGACTAAGGAAGTGAGAATCTTTAAAATAAAGGCAGTAATTTAAATAATGACAACACAATATGAATATATCTTGCTACCTTTTTATACGACTATAAAAAGCATAAACATTATCGTCACGCACCTTGGGCGCAACACTCAGGTAAATCACCTAAAGAGCACAACAAAACGGACATTTTCTAATAATGAGATGAATACGAGTCGTGCGCAGAAAACACTTGTTGCGATTTCTATATTTGTCATACCAGACTCACAGAAGAGCGGCATAATTACATAGATAGTACAAGCACGCTTAAACTTTCGTTTAAGAAAACACCTGATTACCGAATTGTACTTGAAAATCGTGAAAAAAAAAAACCAATGTCGTAATTAAAATAATCGTCTATTGTTGCTTTTGTTTTTTTTTTAATCAGAAAAAAAATTTAATTATTAGATTACAGCATATGAAATGAAATGTATATTGTAGACTGATACATTTAGTGTTTTTGGTCCGCACAAATAAGTAAGTAATTTTATTTGTGTGGATTTTCTCATTCCCATCACAAAAAGCGTATGACGTTAAATCCCATAAAACCGTTGAATGTTCTGGAAGTATTCTAGGCGTTATTTCTATTATAATAACATCATGCATCTACCGTGTGAATAACAACACTTTTTGTCTCTAACAAATGAAAGTTCCACCTGTGAGAATATAACTCGCTTCTTGTGTTTAGTGAAACTTGTTCAAATGTTCATAACATTGACCCTTGCGGCGGTTGCATCAGTTTTCTTATAACAACTGTTAGATAAGCATACATGGCAATGTATGTATTGCTTGTCAATGCTAAATTGGAAAATTGTATCACTAACAAAAATCAGCATGAGAACATCTTGGTCTATGTTTCACTAGCCATGTATTTACTAGCTGAGGTCATGAATTTTATTCTAACGAATTCGAAAAATTTACGAATTAAATTTGATACTCATTTAATTGACTATTGTTTGATGGTAAACATAGTGGACGAATGCAGGCAAATCTGAGCGAAACAGATTTTCAAACAATATTATATTTATAGAAGTTAATACCTATATCTACTAAACTACCAAAATTATTATTGTATATCCCCAGTAAGGTATAGTTTGCAACTAACTAGGTAGTAACTAAATTTATTTTCGTCGTAGTTCATAATAGACAAAATATAAAACCTATTTAGGGATAAAAATAAATTATTTGTAGTAGAAAAAATACGACCGCCGTAATTCAACCAGGTCTTTTGCATTGTTCCTTCTAATTTTGGAAGGAAATAAAACACCGCGCACTAGTGCAAAATTTGTATTCAGTAATGGGAAATTAATGTATTGTTATGGTATTTACATACTTGTTCCTTCATGTGAATGAAGTTATATACTCGTATCTTACCGACTACCTAGATACTCCTATCTCGACACTTTCTAGACATGAATTACGCGAACACGGGTCTGTGAAGTAAATTTATTGGATGACTAGAAAGCCAGTTTCATATTATTGGATTTCATTAGTTCAATTTGGACATAATGTTCCTACTGTCATGTCATTCATTTGCAATAAATTGCGAGTTCAAACTGCAGAAATTATACGATTGTTATCTAATCCAGACTATCTATGGTTATGTATTGACACAGATCGGAAATTACGTAATCATTATGCTTCGTTTAATATGTGCATTACGTCTTATTCCGTAGACATGAAATTTAATTAATTAAGACAACAAAGATATACATATACAAAGTTGGATACCTATCATATAACTTATTAACGATTAAAAATTAAACGAAGAAAGAACGATAAACGAAGAATTACTTCGTCGCTTTGAGTACAGATGCCTTAAAATTAAATACAAAACAGTTGTACAAACAAAATAAAATAATGACACATAAATCGACGAACATAATACCAAGGCCCCCTCTGCCCACTTTGGATAAGAAATACTTACTAAGATCTCAACAGTGCAATAAGTTTAAAGAGAATAATTGTTACTGTTTCTAGTAGGTGTATCTTATGCCGTGGGAGCTAAAGAAGATATGGGTACTTATTGTAATCGTGTAGAATCATGTATATTAAGCCCCACGGTTGCTTGCGTTAAGCTGTTTCAAAGGTATATTGCTTTTAAAACAGATTAATTTTAAAGATACATATTTAGATGGTCTAAGTAACTAGGTACTTATTAGCTTAAAGTATTTTTTTTCTCTTCCAGGTATAGGTAAATAAGTACGGTATTTATCTTGGAAAGGAAAATTGTACTTACTATACGCTAAATTTAGAATGATCTGAAATTTGCTATCGAGTAACTAACGGCACAAACAAGAAAACCCAAAATGAGATATTTAAAAAAATCGTTTGCTAATTTGCCCCGATCTAGATACGGACCCGGAACCACATTTACGCAAAGCAACGTAACTTAAGATAGCGTAGTCATTATCCTTATAATTTTGTTATAGATATTATAATTGTGAAAGTGAATTTTCTTTTTTATTATTACTTTTAGGGCTTTAAAGGCTCAACAAATCGTCACCAATACACGTAGGTGTTCTGTTTGTATGAATAATATAGGTCATCTAAACGGTTACGCGGACGAATAAAAATATCACAAATAAAAAATACAGTTTGATTAACTTGCAAAAGAAACCTTATAGCCTTAGCCTTATTTTGATTTTATATTCGTGGATAATTGTAAGCTGTTTTGTTCATAGGTTGACTGACGCGTACGAGCATTTTGCGTACGAGAGCTTGTCGCCGGATTACGAAGATTGGGCCAGGCCATTCCCCAAGACTGCCCCCGACAACTTCCATCTGTCCAGGTATGGACACCTGCAGATCGACTACTCCTGCAGCTGGAATTCTCTCGACAGACTCATCCGAAATCAGTAGGCAACTTATTTAAATACATGGGCTTGATGGCATACTTTACGATCATGTAGTAAGTACAATAATATGAGAAACACTTTAAGAATATTATAAATATTAAAAAAAAAAGATATTATCAATTAGAACTATTTACATAATACTATTATTATACATATACATGTATTATACATGACTGTAGATACACTTTAAACTTTATGTTAATTATCTTAGTAATGTAATGTAAGAAAGACTCTGTTTTCCGCACTTAGCCTCTCATTTGGGCCGTTGTGCGTGAATTAATTGAAATTATCTTAGTAATAGGTATAATAAAATTGTAACTAGATGATGTATGTACACAAAAGATATTTTAACTTTAAGACATTAAAAAAAACTTTATATGAGGGATTTCAGTAAGACTAATAGATGTCAAAGTAATAAATTTTAGAAATTTTGTCTATCTGTCTATATGTTTGTTCCGCCATTACGCATAAACTACATCATTAATTTGCGGTTTTCACAGATGTATTTGTGAAGATTTAACATAAAATCTGGTATATGTTTTATCGTGATATATCATATATCTATGGTCTGTTTTATTGGTTTTTCTACGTCTGAAATTAATACATACGAAATAGCAGACAAAAAGCTAGCACCTAATATGTTTCATTTTTAATAATGTTTAACATTCACAAGAATCTATTAACTAGATGTAATTTATTGGGAAAGCATAATTGTTACGCTCCGTTAGTACTAAAATATAATGTTGAAATCTGTATAGCCAAAGATAATAAATGAATTTGTTATAAGTTATATTTTCTGGTTTTTATGTTATGCGGAAATGGATTTGGGCTGAATAATTCCACAGTTGATGAACGATATTATATAAATTATAATGATTAATTCTAGATTAGTAATTAAATAATTAGATAATGTTACATCGCTTTAAACACTTTCACCGAGTACAGATACACATCTACATACGTACTTAAGATTTATTAAACGATGTTACAACACTATAATGATAAACTAAAAGTAATCTTTTTTAAAATATGATGTTTGATCTATTTTCATGACTTATTCATTGCAGTATAGGCAGAAAGAAACGTAACGATCTTTACTTATGTATATTTCTTGTTTCATTTATTTTCATAACTCGTCTCATATTACAAGTTATAATAATATAAAATTTTGTTCCACAAAATACAAATTCAATTGATTATTTATTAGCTCAAATATGGATTTTACAGATAGCACATATTAGGTAATTACGCCTCTATATTTTACCATACATGGGGTGCAAATCTATTTTTCATACAAATACTAGTATAATTCCATTATTAATACAGTCATAAACATCAATTTCGTTTGTGGCTAAACCAGTAATTTTGAATTAAAAACCGATTTTAATAATACCTGCGGTATTAATTTCAAAATATTATTTTTAAAACTTACATATGTTCTCTTTTTATTACGATGTCTATTAACGAACTCAGTGTGTTTTGTTGTTTCCTACGATTATTTCGACTTCATCCGAAAGCGCCATCGAAGAAAATTTCCGGATGTATTCAAAACAATTATTAGAATCGGCAAATCATGATTTGTTTTTTATTTTATTTGTATATAGACAATTTGAAAATGGCTTCTTTCTAATAAAAAAAAATCGCCTTTCAAATTGTGTTTCACAAAATAAAAACCGACTTCAATTATGACAAAACCAATTATTTTATTTAAAAACTAAACTACTAAACAGATTTTGATTAAATGTCTGTGGATTCAATCCGTAAGTGTTTCTTTTCAGATAAAAAAGAATTATCCAAATCGGTTGATAACTGATAGAGATATGAGATAACAAGCATAAAAAAATACAATCAGTTTTAGAATCTCCTTCTTTTTTGAAATCGCTTGATAATTGGAATTTATAAAGTATTTTTAGTGTTAGTTATAGGTACTAAACTACATACATTAACGTTTTGCATATAACTGATAAAAATCTACATATATAATATGTATATTTTATCAATAAACAAATCTATTTTATATACCTATAGATTCTTATAGAACCTAGTACTTGACTATTTACTAATAATATGTAGTTACTTACTCAGTACCCACATAAATTATTATTAACAATTTCTATATTATTACTTATTCTGTGGTTAACTTTCGAAGCACCATGAACAGGAGATAATAATATAATTCAAAACGTTAGCTACTTACATTAAATCGACACTTTCACTAGTTATCGGTCTCGTTTGGAACAGCTTTTAAGTAAAACGTTATATTTACTACATACCTATCAATAAACATTAAAAGCGAAATACCTCTCACTGATAATAAAAAATCTTCGGAATCGTAGAAGGTACTAAAGTATTTCGTAATGTTCCAGTTTGACTCACACACCCAGAGTTCTGTACTTGAACGTATGAGGTTCTTAAAAAAAGGGCATTTTAAAGTTTATTTTTTTAAGAATGTAAATAAATAATAGAACAAAAGTAACACCGCCTGCGCTATTGGCATACACTGGCGGGGCATAACGAGAGATGATAGATAAGGATAAAGCAGGTCAGTCAGCCTAATGTGACTAATTCAATAACAATTAACTACGATGGTTTCCAGGAGGGCCTCGTGAACGTCGACTTGATAGGGTATATTGCTAATAATGGGGCAGATGGACTCCATTGCTAACAATTCCTTTTTCCCCGGCGTATTAACGTTTCTTCAGGGCATCACGCACGAGAAGTCCCTGGTATATAAACATCATAGGCTACGGTGACCATTTACCTTCAGGCGAGCTCTATGCTTGTTGCTAACTTTCTGGTATAAAAAACCTCTTAAGGTTTTCCAGAAAAAAAAGACCACTTTAAACGTAATAATTTATATATAGGACCAACATTGAAGTAAACCCATCAATAGTGACAGCTCAGGCGGATATATCGCGTGATACTCGTACATATACAGAAAAAAAAAAATACGGGCAGATTGAGAACTTTCATTTTGGTCTTACCTGTTGTTGCCGAAAAAATTAAAAGTATTTATTTCATTTTTCTTTGATAATGAAAATGGGGTCAAAATAAACTGCAGAAAAACTGTTCCAAACTACAAATATAATAAATTTTAAAACTTTTTATAGTTTTAGTTGTTAAAACAACTAGTACTAGCGAATGGATGCATGAAGTCGCATTATAGAGGTTCCTTTCTACTTTTTTTTGGCACTGAATCCTAAAAAGGAGGACGTTTTCTATGTCGCTGAAAAATTAAAATGTTTGTTTCTACTGTACTTCGCCTGGATCGTTCGTAGGTAGCTATTACACCATTTTAATCACATGACTTGTTTGTTGTTGAGACCATATAGTTATTATTATTCATTAGTAACTTTATGGGTCAGAACACGGTAGGTATGATGTGAAAAAAATATGGTCGTTTATATACTAATTTCTAATATCAAACTGAAAATATAATATTGAGAATGATACTTACTTAACATATGTTCAATGTGTGTAAAGAGCTGATAGAGGAACTTTTCAATATACATATTAAACTTCTATATAATTATATTTATTAAGAGTAAGTGTTTAAGACAGCAAGTGAACATTCTATTTTTTAAATTTATACAGATTTTTAATTAACCGCCTTAAAGAATAAACAATTCACGCTTCAGGGGAAGTACCTACCTACATACTTGCAGTTTGCAAGCGATCAAATGTAGGCCATGATGTAACTTATGAATAGTCAGGTTGGTATGTAATAATTTTCATAACCGCATTCTTATTCATAGGAACATCGTGCGATATTAGATAAAGAAGCCAAATTATAAATATAGTGCAAAGATAAACTTTAATTACTTCTTTTATCCGAACACAATATTGTAGATACAAGTAAGCTCTTTTGTTAAAATTTTTGTGAAGAAATGTTACGAATATTTTTAAAAGCAATTAGATTGAGATTGAATAATATTAAATAACATACCTTAAGTACTCAACGCATATTATATTATATAATAATACATAACACAACAAAAAATATTATAAAAGATGAATAGTATAAGGTAATGGGAGTGAAAGGCAAGGGCATCAGAAATTAATCATCATCAATGACGTGCAATGTTTCAAAGTAATTTAATTTTTCAATTATTAAGTAAATTACAAAAGAATTATTATATAAGTATTAGATAACAAAATGTAACTTAAAAATCTTGAAAATCTTTCTCATTATATAGCTTTCTTTTTTTTGTAATGTTAAATTGTCCTTTCTTTTCAGATTTTTTATTTGGTGTTTTGTTTCCATAGTAAATAACTTGAAGGGAACTTGTTGGTTTGAGTTGTTTATTTTGATTGGAAATAGCAAAATGAGATTTTGTAACTCTTTGTGAATCAAACACTGCATCCATGTCTAAATTCTGAGGGTAGGGATCTCGATTAGCAGAATATGGGCGTTCAACTTGACTTACGAATTGCGATGAATAAGGATTTTGGGCTAAGTATTGTTTAAATTGGCTCTGTTTAAGTTTCTCCTCCAACTCTTCTAGTTTCTGTTAAAAATATATTTTAAGTAAGTTAAAAATATAGTTTGAGTAATATGAAAGTGGAATGTGTTGTGTTTATAATGAATGCCAATTAAGTCCGCGGTGAGATTAATTGCGCTCGTGGATCGTTTTCAGTTGATCATTATACGTTAGTATCTATTATTTCTAGTGTACAGCTTATAAGATGAATAATTAAAGATAGATAGATAAGGAAAACTGTACAAAATTGTTTAGGTATCTCTCTAAAGTAGGAAACAAAGTAATATTATATATGAAGGAATAACGCCTCAGTTCTTAAGAGTTGCAACGCATGAGAGGTGCTGTTCTTGACTATAGGTATGCATTCATTGGCGTTTTGCTCAAAAAGATGGCTGATTCTTTGCAAGTCCAACTTGTATAAATAAAGAGCATCTGTTCTTTATAATATAGTTCTTCATATTAAGTATTGTATGTCTACAATTGTTTATATACGAATTGTTTGGTAATGATTACTTGACTACGCTCTAAAACTATTTTTTTTTTTTATGAAACTTAGAATGGCAAACATGCTGAGGGTCATCTGATGGAAAATGGTAACCGTCGCCTATAGACATGAGTAGTACCATAGACATAACAGAGTATACTGTTTCACCTATGATACCTTCCATGCGTTGCCATTCCTGAGGACTCAGGTGTTATTCCTGTGTACCCTGTAAATTCACCGCCATATCCCACCCTTCAAATTGAAACACAGGCATGTAAACACAACTTCTTCACGGTTTAAACACGAACGGGGCAGAGATGCCCAAGCAAACGAATTTTGTATAAAGTCTCCGTCTGGTAATTTAATTAAGAAGAACTATAGAACAATTATCTAGAATGTTTGGTATGTCAAGGTAGTTCCGGGAACTGATTTACGTAAATTAATTTTAAAGTATAATTTATTGTTAAATATAGATAAATAGTAGATACGTTACTAAAGAGCTTAGCTATTGTGTGGTCCATTCTATTTGACTGACATCAAAAACATGTGTTAAAGTTTTTAATTATTTACAAACTATTCACTTATAAGAAAATTATATCCAGAGTCAACAGACTTCTTCAAGAAATTTCTACCACTATCACGTGAAAAGTAAGTACAAAACGAACACAAAAAAGTTATTTATTATATACAGATAGAGAGGTATCTAATTTTTTTTTGTGACGTATAGCTATCCAATAAATAGCTAACATCGCAGAACACTCGAGTTACCCATGGAAACCCTATTTGTAACTAAATATGGACACTGTGTAAAAATAATTGTTTATGGGTTCTTTTATAAAAGTTTGAATGGATAAAATTAAGCAATATCCCACCTGGCGGTATACGTCTAGGCTAGATTCTGTTCTTGCTGCTTGTCGGGCCAGTTGTTCTTGTAGCTGATCAACCTGGGCCGCCCCACGCTGTATCTTTTCTTCATATTCCAATACTACTACGTTCATCTATGAATAAATAAAATGGTAATGGTCGTCTCGTCCATTATGTAAATTTTTTACCCTTCTCCCCCTTTTGGCGAGATTTGGTGCGATTTAGAGAGTATTCCACATCCCTATACTCATGTAAGAAAAATCCTTCCAGTATTATAAATTTCTAGGTTGCCTTCGTTTTCCGCAATAGCCTAAGACAACTGAGACTAATACAAGCAGGCTTGAATGCTCTTGAATACACATGTTTGTACTGTACGGGAATCGAATCCACAATCATTCGATTAAACTGCTTTATAAAACTTTTAAAAAGTTGTAATTTAATGATAGTCATATATCTAGAGAGGTTTAAAACAATCAGAAAAATTGGTGTACATATTATACCTTATCTCTGTGTTCCACTTCCATATCCTTCATCTTGCATCTCAACTCTTCAATAACACAAGTAAACTGTGCAATCTGTGTGTCACACTCGTGTTGTACCTGTTCAACTTTGTTTTTCCATTTTAGATTAATTCAATATTTTATATCACATCAATTTACTTAAATAGCAGGAAAAGGGATTGTTAGTAACGGGGGTCTAAAAGTCCCGTTGCTAGTAACATTGGGGATATTGCTGGCAATGCAGCTCTCAGATCGATCTTTCAGATCGATGATGGTTTCCAGGGGATCGTGATCATCTCAACAATCAATCAATCATCGATCAATCATGGTTAATTCTTGTCGAATTCATCATAATGGTGTTAACTGATCTGCATTCGTTCTCACTTTTCATCTCTCATTACTGCCCAGGACCTCTAGACAAGTGGCAAGCGAATTCGTCGATGGACTCGACATCGCTAGCAAGTCCGTGAATTGGAATGAGTCATCCGGCGTTGCTATCTCTTTCTATCTCACGGACTCGCTAGCAATGTCTATACCATCCTCGAATTCGTTTGTTACTTGTCTAGAGGGCCTGCTAGCGTATAGCGAAAGTACATGCTCATTACCAATTATGGAATTGAAAACATTTCCATCCTTGTTAAAGAGTATCTACATGTGAAATTAAAAAAAAATATTCGAATAAAATCATAAGTAAAAATTTTTTATATATGTATTTTTAATATCAAGCCTCTCATACTAAGTACTTAATACAAAAAGAGCATGTTAAAATGTCAAACTAGGTACTATAGGAAATTCTAAATTTTTTTACATTTTTCGACTAATGTTTCGTTGAGAAAATATTTAGTTTATTTTCGATTTCAACGTGTAGTAAATAATTAGTAAATAGTAAACATATTTAATAAATCATCTTAGCAAGACTTGAGTATATCTAAATAATAGCAATGGATCTAAAATGCTTATTTATATATTAAATAATATATAATTAATTACCGTAGAAACCATTTCATTCTAGGTATTTATTTCATCACTGCTATTTTGTTATTAAAATTATTATACTTACATGTAGGTACCTATATGTATAATTAGCTACATAACATTCCAATTCCGGGTTTATATATATGCAAAATACAGCAAGCCATAGGCGTCTGACAATATTAACAAAAAATAAATTTGCCAAGAAAATTAACAATAAAATGAACTGTAGGTATTTATTACTTTTTGTTAAGAAATTTAAATTGAATAATATTGAAACGGCGTAGTACCAGTGAAATTTAAAGAGATAGGGGACGATGCTGTCGAGCCAGCTGGCCCATTGACCTGAATTCACCTGGATTTATCAACAATGTTTTTCAGAGGGAATTACATGGAGGTTGAACTTAATTATATATTGCTAACAATGGGTTTATTAACACCCATTATTAACAATCGTCTTATTCTATCTGCAAACTTTCTTTGAGCGATACTAGACCGGCTAAATCTAGAATCGTTTTTTCTTTACGCGTACTCATGAATATAAATGTTTGCATTACGTGGGGATTGAACCTGCGATCGTTCCAAGATATGTCAGTGTACCATCAAGGTCGTCAAATACTAAAAATGCAGAACCTGACTTTCTATAATAGACAATACAATATATAATAGACTTACATACTTAATCACTATTTGAAGGAGCTTATTCAACTAGAGAACAATTTTGCATTTTTTTTTTGTTCAGAATTTCACATGTAATTCATATAAAAGTAAACAAATAATTATTTAGGTACTTAAAATAACATTTATACATTAAATTAAAATTCAACCCTACTGGGGTATTTTTATAATCCAGTTAGTATGTATTTAAATTTAGGGTTGAATTTTAATTTAAAGTATAAATATTATTTTAAGTATATATATATAAGAAATCAATAAAAAATATTAAAAATATTACATTGTTTTTGACTGACACACAATAGCGACATTGCCAAATAAAAAATCCGTGTATTACACTACTACTTACCTACAGCTATTAACTGACCACAAGGTACTGTTTTTCCTTAGGAAAGTACAGTTATCAAAGTTTAATATGCAATTAGACAGTAATTATTCACATCACACATAAATACCTACCTAATGGCGGCAAAGATATCGGCAACTAAATTTGTGAGTATTTATGTATATCGGTTGATATATCTAATAATTTCAAATTATCTAAACTAATATTGTACTAATATTATAAAGAAGAAATATTAAATTTTTCGTTTGTAATGAATAAACACGAAAGATAATTGAGTTTAAAAATACGAGTATTTCTTATATAAAAAGCTTTAAGCGAGTAATATAGACTATATTCATTGAAAAAAGTGTGAAGCCGAAGAGGGTCGGTAATTATTAACAAATTATGAAAAAGATTAATAATTTTCATGGTAATGCCTGCAATAACATATAGCTCGAAGAACCAGCAACGGATTGGTAATGTAAGTTCTCGAGTGATGATTCCGTACTAACAAACGCAGGGTTTAGTAACATGAAGCGATGACCTTAAATATGTCGTAGAGAGTCGATGAATATAGCTTAGGCCGGTTCATTATGGAAGTCTATATAGAAATCCTAATTTCAGTAGTGGACAAACAGGGCTAATGTTATGCTTGTGCCGACTTTTACTTACTTTTCTTTTCATTATTTGATAATATTTCTTCGATTTCTTTTTGATGAACGTCATGGATTGCAGCAAGCTTCTCGTTATGTTTCAATAATATATTTTCCTTATCCTAATAATAATTAAACCAATAAAATGGTACTTGAATAAACTGGAATTTTTAAAACGTGACGGCTAATAGCTACTGTCACCTATAAATATGAACAACACCGTTGATATCACAGAGTATACTGTACCACCCACGGCATTCCTTGTGTGTTGTCTCTCCTGAGAACTAAAATATTATCCCTTCGTGCGCTGTAATTTCATTGCTATATCCTACACTTCAAAATGAAAAACAACTGCTTAATGGCAATAAAAGTAACAAGCGGGACAGCGGTATCTATCGACGCATTTGACTTTTATATAAATTTTTATTTAGTATTAATCCACTTCAACAATGACAAAATTACTTGACATATATAAAATAATCATCAAATCAGTTAAAAATTTACTAAGATATTATGAAACTTGACGCAAAAGGAACCATAGAACCACAATATATACCTAAGTACTTACTCCATAAGGACCCGAGGGTGAAGCCAAATTATAATAATATTAGTTATATGTCCAAGTATATAGATCTAGAGTCGCCTAAGACTAAGCAAATGCCATATCTCAAAGTAAAAAAATATTCAAAGCAGTGATCTGTGATTAGAACTAGGTGGAGTGTGGATGGTGGTAGAGGGTATACAATATTAAGACTATCATGGTGATCGCTATCCTCGGAACACAGTCTGCAACTACAGAAAAAGTAAGTATACCTAAGGTAAGCCTAGTATCTCGATACCTATATAATATTGTGCTCGTAAAGCTTAAATACCTTCTCCATTGAAGTAATCGTGGCATCTTTCAAGGCAATCTCGTCACTTAATTTTTTAATGTCCCTTTTTAAATAAACCAACTGTGAAACTGTTTCCTGTAAATTTTCGATCATTTGTCGAGACGCTAACAAATGATGACGATGTGATTTTTCAAGTTCACGGGCTTCCTTTAGTTCCAGTTCGATTTTTAAGTTAGTTTCGCGTAATTTCTTGCATTCTTCTTTGTCATTTAAATAATCCTATAGGTTATTTAATTATTAGGTCATTACTCGTAGACATATGTTATCGTTAATGAAAAGTTTTATTCAGACTCACATACAATTTTACATTTTGATAAGGTTTCGAGAACATTTTGTAGACGAACATTTTGAACGTCAGTTTTATCTCTTTGCACTTCCATTTATCAAGCTAGTAAATATTACTGAGGTAAGAAATAATTCATTTTTTTTTTAATTACATAATTCCCGCCATCTTGTTTATATATTTGCTTCCTGTTCCTACTTGCAAGGGAAAAGGGATTATTAGTAATAGGGTCTAACAACTCTATTCTTAACAATATATCCTAGTAAGTCGACAATCACGCGATTCCCTCTGAATGTCATCGTGGTAAATTCTTGCAATTCATTATAATTCATAATAATTAATTTATTTATTATAACGGACCTGCTTTTATCCTCACCTATCGTCTCTCACTGGTGTTTTGCCAGTGTACTCGTATATTATATAATTCCGATATTAAATAATTTTGATATTTTACAATTCTCTTTTTTAGATAACGCAGGCTGGATTAAAAATCTATTTTCATTCAAAAAAATAACCTACCCGCAGGCATTTAATCTATGATTATTATACTTAATCTATTCTATGAACAGAATGTATCTATGTTACAGACATTCCACGTAAGAGTGGTGGCTTAGATAGTAAGTTATATTACGTTTATGAGCTGGGCGGCGTGATGAATAAAAAAATATAAAAAAAAAGCAAAAAAGCACACAAAGTGTGTACTTTTTTTTACATTCTACTAAGTCTATACTTTTATTACTGTTATAATAATTGTTTGAGTATAGTTCTTTTATTCACCCCATAGACTTAGTTCCTATATAACAAATTAAACAATAATACTCTTTGGTTTTCTATTAAAAAATATTTTAACATTCGTTTTGTTCAAAGCTTTGGTATTTCTTTGTTCTTAGGTTTTGCCGATATGTCATTATCAATTTAATGATTGATAATGGTCATTATGTATATAACTTTACTAAAGAAATATTAACCTTTACATAAATAGTAAGTTAAAATGGAGACTACTTCATATGAAAAGAATTGTATTCATGAAGAACTCTGACGCTTGGTAGTTACGACTCCTATGAAGATTAATATAAAATACGTATGAAATCATTTTCTCCCCATTTATGAAGAACTGATAATAACTTATGACTAGATTGTATGGACCATGTTCTTTGCCTGTCCATTTTGGACGACTTTTAAAATAACAATAATCTTTATTGTCATTATGTCATTTGGATTTTGATTGAATGAAATATAACCTATAACACCTTGACTAAATAAATTAATAATTGTCATTTTATAGAAAGTGATTGTTTAGTGTACTTTAATAAATACTTTTTAAATTGTATTGTAATGAGTCAGAGATAAAGTTAATTGTTAAACTTTAATAGAGAATTACAGAGACCGAGTTAAAATGGCCACTGCTTACGGAATACATCTGGGCAACAACTCCGCATGTTTAGCGTCTTTTACAAATGGTACAGCTTCAGTAATAGCAAATGATGCTGGCGACAGGGTGACACCAGCTGTAGTAGCACTTAATGGCTCTGAATGGGAGATAGGGCTAACTGCTAAATCAGGTCAAGCATTATCAAAAGCCATTGTAAAACATAATAAAAGACTTATGAATTGTGATTGGAATGAAGAGGATTTAACATATGTCGAAACCTCTTCAACTTGCCGTATTCAAAATGAAGATAAGTTAACTTATGAGTTTGAGTCTGGTGAAACAACACAATATTCAAACCCTGATAATATAGCAACTAAGATTTATGCTAAATTGTTTACTATAGCTAGTCACTCAGTTAAAAATGAAGGCGACCTAAAATTGGTGCTAGCTGCCCCTTTGCATTGGTCTAATGAAAGTAGGGAGAGGTTAGTGAAATGTGCCGAATTAGCAGGATTTGATGTTCTACAAGTTATAAGTGAACCAGCTGCAGCATTATTAGCATACAATGTTGAGGATACTTCAGAAGAGATAAATGTTTTAGTTTATAGACTTGGAGGGTCTTCATGTGATGTATCTATAGTAAATGTTGCTGGAGGATTTATTACGATTGAAAAAAATATCTTTCGTTCTGATTTAGGAGGCCAGTGTTTGACAAAAGATTTAGCCAACTATATAGCCCAGGAAGTGAAACAAAAATGGAAATTAGATCCACAAGAGAGTCGTAGAGCTATGTCTAAGCTGATGCATCATGCTGATAATTGCAAACATGTCCTTTCCACCTTGAATTCAGCACATGTTTTCATAGAATCATTATTAGATGGTGTAGACTGGAGTCAGAATGTGTCTCGGGCTAGATTTGAAAACATAATTTCTTCAAAATTGTCTGCATATGTTGAGCCTGCTCAAAAACTTATTGAAAGTTTTAATGGGAAGATTCACAAAATAGTTTTATCTGGTGGCAGTATGAAGATCCCAAAATTACAGTCTGCAATTGCAAATTTAATACCAGACGCAGAAGTTCTCACTGGAATAAATCCTGATGAAGTGATAGCTATGGGTTGTGCTCGACAAGCAGGAATGCTTATAGATGTGCCTGAATTTAATATGCATGACTTAAACACAGAAGTGGAATTTCTTGGAAAAGATATATACCTTAAATATTTAGATCAAACTACACAAATCTTTAAAGAAGGTGCTGCACCATTTGCTCAACATGTTTCTAATGTTGATGCTGGAGAGGATGTCAAAAATGTAAGTTTTAGTTTACACGAGGACCCTAATGGCGAACAGTTTGCTGCCGAGACATTTAATGTGGAAAGTTTGAATAAACCTTTCACTTTAAAGGCTACATTACAGCATTCAAAAGTAGTCTTACAAGTTGAATAGAGAAGAGCCATCAAAATAAAATAAACATTAATAATAATGTGTATTCTTATGCCTAACTAACATTTGTAAACAATATATGGAATATATATTATATATATAATTTTTTTTTTTTTATTTTACCTCTTCTATAACATCTGCTTTTATATATTGTGTTAAATCAGTTGTATTAAATACATTAACAATTTACTGAATTTAAATTTAATATAGTATATTGTAATGTTATTGCTATGCAGGTTGATAAGAAAAGGTATTAAATTTATAATGATCATGGTATCAATTTACAAATACAGTAATCATACCTAAAATATTTTCATTTCAGAGTTTGCAAAAGTATTATGAAATGTTTATTAATTTTGTTTTAAATCTATTAGAAATTTAATCCATATTTGTGTATAGAAAAAGCTTAGGCAAATCTATCTTAGATTTCAGTATGATATTAAATTATATTTTAACTTTAAAAAATGGTATAATAAAATTGACCTCTCGTAGACCATACATCTTCATATAAAATTTTATTTCGAATTTTGCTTGTCTTATGCTGATGTTGCTGTATAATTTTCTTGTGATTATTTTACTAGATCTTAGGATATGCAAAGGAGTGATGATAGTAAGTTACCTTGTTACAGTCAAAACAGAACTTAAAATAATTTGTAATTATTTTTTTTATTTTCTGTAAAAAAGAAGATTACGTTTTTTTTATAAATCATTACTCATTATTAATTGATGGAAATGAAATGACGACCTCAATGTTGCAATGAGGTAGTTCTTCAGTGATGATTGTCCCCATGATAGGAGGGGCGGGGGGGGGGGGGGGGAAGTAATTGTCATTAATGTGGACTATTGCTAGCAACATACTTTATCTAGTCAACCTGCACATTGTTCCCTCTGGAAACTATCTTGATTAATTCGAGGTGTTTACATCACGGTGGGCTAACTGACCTGCTTTTTCATTTTCACCAATCATCCCTCACTGGTAGATATACCATTAGTCCAGGTGGGGTTACCAATTTATTATCATCCACTGACGTGAAGGGATTGTTAGTAATTAAGACTAAGGGCCCCATTGCTAGCAATATACCCAACCAGTCCCCCTGGAAACTATTTTGTTGAATTCCAGGTGTATTTATCACGATGGGCTAACTGACCTGCCTTTTGATTCTCATCTATCATTCCTCACTGGTACACCGCTAGCATATACCGTTAGCACAGGCGGGGTAACTATTACATTATCATTCAGTAAAAAAATATATGGAGGGTTTTTTTTTAATGGGTGATAATGGAATGATATCCCCACCCGCGTTATCGGTATAGACCGGCGGGGCACCAGTGAAGAATGATAAATGAGGATGAAACAGGTCAGTTAGCCCATCATGACGAATTCAACAAGAATTGTTCACGATGGTTTCGAGGGGGAACCACGTGGAGGTCGACCTAATAGGACATATTGCTAACAATGGGGCTATCAAACTCCATTGCTAACAATCCCTTTCCCCCCAATATATGGAGGGTAGAGATAAGAAGGCCCATCTCTGTGTGTGAAAAAGTATCTATCAAAATGCCTTAAATTAGGATTCCACATAGTGGCAAGTGGGTAAGTAAATTTTAAAAGAAATAAATAAGGAAAGCAAAACTTTTGCTTTTTAACAGTTCATTTTTCAAATTAATTTTTCTATTTTAGAAGAATAATTATGTTAAATATTACTATAAAACTTTTAATTATGCAGTAAATAAAAAAATAAAGACATTATTGTGGTTTATTTTTTTAATTTATATTCAGGTACTTAATACTAACAAATATTTATTTAAAACTATTTCCACTTTAGAACGTATATTGTACAAATTGTTGGCTTATTGTCTATCTCGCTCTAACATATAGGTCAATATATTTGCTCTCTTTTCCATTGCCGATCTATATACTTCATCTAAGATTAAAGCAAAGCTAAACCAAGATATATCCAATATTTCTATTCTGTGTTATCTCAATGTTTTACTCTGTGTTGGATTTGAATTTAAAAAGTCGTGAAAAATGTAAATAAACAAAATTATAATTATTTAAACTTCTAATTTAAATTACTCTAAAAATGAAATGCATTTTAATCAGTATTATATATTTTGTAATAATCAAAGATATTAGCTATGTATTAAGCATTAAGCAGAATGATGTACTTAACCATTTGGGAACACGCACTCCATACAGATTTAGACATAACAAAGATGATTCTAAAATAAAATATCCTCGTAAGTTTCTAATTAAAATATTATTTTATCTACCCGTAATTATCTAAAAGAGTTATTGTTACTGTAAACTGTTAAGTGACATGTGCTTATTCAAAACAACATAAACCAACCATAATCAATGTTCACTAAGAGACTAGTACCCTACTGAGGAGGAAGAGATTGTTAGTAATGGGATCAAAAAATAATGTGTATCCTGTAAGGAAACATTTATGTAACATATCTCTGATCTCCAAAATGGGATAATATTTGTTTAATTCTACAAAATTAAGACTTCTATATTTGAAATTTTAAAATGAGAATTTAACTTTTTTAATAAATTATTATTATTGAAATTGCATTTGTTTTCAGATTGCAAAGATACTAAGATTTGGATGATAGTGCGCCATGGAACCAGATTGCCTAGTGCTAAGGATATACAAGGCATGAATACGACTCTTAAAGATATAAAATTGGAAACTTTGCTTCAACATAAACATGGTAAAGGTACTATATCAGTTTCTAAAATATAATTAATGATTGATAAGTTAATTAGTATTGTAATGTGTTGTCATATAAATATTAGTTATTTAAAATCTCACAGGCTAATTGCAAGTAATTTTTCTAACTTAAATTTCAAGCTGTAATTTGAACCCTATTAATATGATAGTTATTGAGACAAAATAAAATAATTCTAATCATATAACCAGTGATATAGTCTTCCGCGAGATAACACCTAGTTCAGTAAAATATAGTTGTTGAAGCTTTAATGTGTTTAAGTTTAAGTTTTAATGACTTATAGTATAACATTTTATTAAATATTACTTACTACTTCACCTTGTGATGGCTGTGGGTTCAATTTTCACATAATAGATACTTATCTGGACTATTTACATATATTTATATATTCATAAGGATTAATTGCCTATGTCTATCAGCTATTCACAAACATTACTTAAGTTGGCTTCAAATTATGCTGTCTAGAGCTGTTTAATATTTATTTTTAATAATTTATTAATATTTGTAAGTATTTATTTATTGCTAGTATATGTATGTTATATTGTGTTTATTGCTTAAGGCCAACTTACGCAAGGACAATTAAAAGACTTAGAAGAATGGACTAGCACATTAGATATTGAGAGAGAAAAATATTTAACTCTTGAAGGACGGGATGAAATGATATTACTTGCAGAAAGAACACAAAATAGGTTCCCGAATGCAATTAAAAATAAATATAACAATAAAACATTTTTGGTGAGTATTATTCTCTCTAATATATATTTTTATTTATTCCAAATGTGTTAAAACCATTTTTATTGTTGATATGCAATTTGTATACTTACACCATAAGAATTTTGGCATGATCATATAAATAATTACTACATAGTAGATGTAACATATTTTTGGAAAAAAATTATATAATTTATTTAGCTGATAGGTATTATGTAAAAATTATCCATATTGTATTTTGCATTAATTCTAAAAACCTAATATTGCAGTTTCGTTATACAGCCACAGAGAGAGCTCAGCAAAGTGCCAGATATTTTACAAATGGTTTGTTCGAAAAAAAAGATGCTCAAGATGTGATATTTTTGCCAGCCACTAAAGTAGATCCTGTTTTACGAGTGAGTAGAAATAGTATTATTATAATTTATTGTTTATTTTTTATGATATTAAATCTATCAGCTTTTCCTACACTGAGTCTGAGTTGCAATTTTTCAGTTTTACAAACACTGTGATAGGTGGCAAAAGCAAGTTAAGAAAAATCCAGACACATACAAGGAGCAAATATTGTTTGGAAATAGTTATGAAATGAATAAGACTTTAGAATCGATATCAAAACGACTGGGGCTCAAAAGAGTGCTGAGTCTAGGTTCGTAGCGTCAAAAAACAATTGCAATTACTTTGCAGCTTGCTTTGCTGTTTGCTACATTGGTGTCCACTTGTTCATTAATGTTCTAATATATACTAATCCCATACTACAAAAATGTTAGTTTACAAACCTATTTAATTAAGTAATTTCTGAATTGTATTAATTTTCTTTTTCTCTAGAGGAAAGTTGATTTAAAATAAAGCGACAAAATATAATAATAACTTATAAGAGTATTCATAACTTTAGCTTATTGAAGTGTGGCAACGTCTCAGTCAGACATTATTTAAAATGTTTCCTGTTAATGAACTAAAACATTAATTATGTAATAATATTTTTATTAAGATGTCATTCAAAATTTGGATTTTGATGGCAAAAATGTTTGAAAAATCCAAAACAAAATATGATAGATCAGTTGGTGCAATGTTTTTAGTGGCAGATTTAGCTGCAACATATTCAGTGATTAAAAATGAATAGGTGATTTTGAAATGGTACGTTTTTCTCAATTGGAGTTAAAGAGAGATGAAATAAAAGTTCGACCACTAGCAGCAATATATTCTCATTACAACACAACATTATTAAGCGCTAATAACAGGCCCCTGTGCAGACAGTTAATTAATAATACGGAGTCAAAGCGGTCGGCGTGACCGAAAGGGACGGACTAGTGGATTTGGCCAAACGGTCAGGACTCGTCATTCTGTAATTTGCGTTTTAGTTCGCTAACAGAGAACACATTAAATTATCAGTCGGAGTTATTGAAAATTGTTTTGCAAAATTAAAGGATACTTGCGACGTTGTTACATTTTGGTAAGTTAATGTTATGAACGATGTTGATTTTCTTAATCATAACTCTTTCTTACACAATACAATCCTTTTACCATTAAAAAATGTGATAAGAATATTTATCGTTTCCCTGTTGCCTATCTCTATTGCTTATGCAATGCACTGTGTTTTAAGGAATTGTTTGGTATGATGTCCAGGACCACTTTTTAACATCGTTTTCATAATTATTGTAAAAATAATATTGTAAATAAAAACTATATGGCTTTTCTCACACCATAAGCTTTATTAGGATAGACTATTGTTGTATCATTGTAGAACATTTTGTTATAAACATTTATTTACATATACACATATGTTTGTCCTACTAACAATTGACAGATTTCTTTATTTTTGCATTTACATTACAGGTGAAGTAAATCTAATGTACAAAATATGTGGATATGAAACATCTTGGAATAAGCATCAGATTTCACCGTGGTGCTATGCATTTGATGTGGAAAGTGCTATGGTTAGTTAATTTTTGTAAACATAAAATACTTTATTGTACTGTTAAGAAATATTTGTAGCTTAGTTGTTAACATAATTAAAGATTGTTTCTTAAAAAAAAAAAACTGTTATTTTGATCTAAAAAAAAAATTTCCAACCGATTTGGAAAATTCTTTTTTAAGGTGTTGAGGTAAAAAACAAAAAAAAAAAAATACAATCTAATTGAGAACCTTGTTCTTTTTGAATTCGGTTGAAAATAAGTAAAATTTGCTTGTAGATATCTCTGTCCAATTTGGGTTTCTGTCGTGAAGCAGTTGTGTTTGCATAGCTGTGTTTCGGTTTGTAGGGTGGGATGTAGTAATGAAATTACAGGGCACAGAGGCATAACAACTTAGCCCCCAAGAATGGCAACGCATGGGGGGTATCATGAGCGAAACATTTCGCTCATGGATGATTATGTCCATGGTACTGCTCATGTTTATAGGCGACGGTAACCACTTTATATCAGGTGGGTCGTCAGTTTGTTTGGTCATTATAAGAAAAAAAAAACATTTATTATATTTTTCCAGAGGCTGGAATATTATCACGATCTCAAACATTACTGGATGGACGGATATGGACACAATTTGACGTATCGTCAAGCGTGTTTAGCACTTAAAACTATGTTCAAAATATTTAGGTAAGTCAAACATAATAAAACAAAATTCGTTGTTTGGTAAAAATCCAAAATTGATGTATACTTTGATGTAAGTACTTAGATAATCAACACCGTTCTTTTATTACTACTGTTGTATCGTAGACAGAAATGAAAAGGAGTGTCGACATATTATATTCTTTGTTTGTCACAACATACCTTTTTTTGAAGATTAATAAAAGATAATGTAATATAGTTCTATTAAAAGCAAAATACAGCAACTTCGAAGGCATTATAATCGGAGACAGGTATTGAGAATGATTATTTGTTGGCATTCAAAGTATTATTTAAACAACGCGTGTGTTAAAGACTGAATTAAATATTGAAGGATATCGAGTCGGAATTTTACCGATACTTTACAATATCTAATGACTTACGAAGATTTGTATAAGCAATCAAGTAGAATCTTTAAAATATACGTATTTGGTTTATAAGAGACGGAAATTAACGAGTTTATTTAGATAAACTACGATAATTTGTCTGAGTTATCTCGACGTTTCGACCAGGTTATTTTGACAGTGGTCAGATGTTTTTTTACCCACTCATTGCCTCAATCACACAAATTTTGACCCTATCCTAAGGGTATCTGCATATTACACTGACCGTGTCTTTATTCAGAGTTTTTACTGACTGCACAGTGTAGCGAAGTAATGTCTATTATAATACTGGGTTTCAGATCGCGGAGAGTTTGAAAACGTCTTCTCGATTGAACGTTTTGTTTTTTATTACATTTATTATAAACCTTAAATCATACAACGCGAAAGTCTAAAAGTTATCAGAGGTATATACGGAAGATAGGTATATGGCGGTCCAGTATTATATGCTTACTCGTTATTTCCTGCAATTACACTATAAAAATGTGGAAGAAACTAACCGCAGCGGTGTTTCTAAATAAGTATGGCTTAGGGATTTTCAAGAAGACATATTACCTTTTTAAAATGCCGGCAATGCACAGATAACTGTGGTGTTGTTAGTGTCTATGGGCTGTGGTGATAAATTACCACCAGGTGAGCCGCATGCTCGTTTGCCACATTTTCACATAAAAACTTTTCAATGTATATTCTTTATATGTTAAATAGAATAGAAATCAAGCTAATAACCCACTTGATAGAATGGGATGGGGCCCATCTATGGACATGATATAAGTAAAAACGAATTGTCTAGTATAAACTCTGCTTAGTTTGGGATTAAATGTCTATGTAATATGTGTAATGAGTTGTATTTATATATTTATTTGTTATTATGACTGGAATGTAATGAGCAATTATTTTTTCAGTGACAAACCTGATCCATTTGCAGTGTTCATGTTCGCTCACTCGGGCACTTTGCTGAAGTTACTCACCCATTTGCAACTTTACAAACCAGACTCCCCTCTCACCGGAGACGCAATGGATGACACTAGACCTTGGAAAGCGTCACTTATCGATTGCTTTGCAACTAATTTAGCATTTGTGCTTTTCAAGTAAGTAGACATACGTAGAGAAAAATAAATAACTGTTATTAACAATATTTGTTTAATAAATGGTGATATTTGGTAATTTGATTAAAATTATCTCCTATGTACGAAGTCTAAAGACTATATTGGCACTTAGAAGAATTTAGTAAAATTCATGTTAGAGCTATAGAAGTCTAAATAGTAGTTACAATTTTTGTGTCTGTATATATATGTTTGTTTCGGCATCAAGTAAAAATTATTGCCCTATATTTCATAAAATCTGATGTAGTTATATTTTATTTTAATACGCCATCTAGAAATGGCCTATTTAGTTGGTTTTCTTGCATACAAATTCCACGTGTATCAAGTTACGAAAAGTGGGGGAAAGGGATTGCTAACAGTGGAGTTTGACAGCCCTATTGCTAGCAATATGCCCTATTAGGTCGACCTCCACGTGGTTCCCCCTGGAAACTATTGTGAACAATTCTTGTTGAATTCGTCACGATGGGCCAACTGACCTGCTTCATTCTCACCTATCATCCTTCACTGGTGCCCTGTCAGCGTATCCCGATAGTTCAGGCGGGGTTACCATTCCATTATCATCCATTAAAAAAAAAGTTACGAAAAGTCTTACGGAAAGTCTACTGCACAGGTTTCGTTGTCTATGCTTTTGTTTCACATGTGCGTTGAAACTGGGCATATATTATTTTATCTACTATCAAAATTCCTCATCTAAGTGTATTAGTTACAGACGCTGTCAATCTGTTTCTGTCAAAGTGCTTAATAATAGATAAAGGGAGTAGATTTTTTCGTCTGACCCATAACATAAAGGATTTGATAAATGTGATTATGTTCACAGGTGTAAAGATGGTGATTACGTTTTGACGCTGCACCAAGAAAGGGTAATCAAATTACCAATGTGTGAAAAGGAGCTGTGTCCTTTAACAAAACTTTTGGAATATTTTCATGATTCTATACACAATTGTGATTACACCGATATGTGTAGTCTAGATAATGATGCTAGCAAATAAAAAAAAAATTAGACAGTTATCAAAGAATTGCTTAAGTGCTTGTCAATTATGTATTATGCAGATAGCTTTAATTTTTTACGAACTTCTATTCGAAATATAAATTTAATAGTTTATCAAATTGTTTTATTTCTCTATAGTTTATTAAGTGATCGGATTATCAGGAATACAGAGGGGAGGGATCGTTAGTAATGGACACTAAGGGCCTTATTGGTAGCAATATACCCAACCAGGTCGACTTCCCCGTGCTCCCCCCTGGAAACCATCGTACTGAATTCCAAGTGTATTCATCACGTTGGGTTAACTGACCTGCTTTTTTCATTCTCATCTATCATCCCTCACTGGTGCCCCACCAGCGTATACCGTTAGCGCAAGTGGGGCTACTACTTCATTATCATCCATTAAAAAAATACATACATACCCATTAAATACTACTGAACATTGAAAAATTGCAAAGTGCCATCTAGTGTCAAATTATGCAGAGTTCGTAATTATGGGCGCTAGACTTGCGCGTACAAATTTTTAATATCTGGCGATAGACATGTGAGACAGACTAGTTACTTATCCATTCAGATGAATTTGCACAATGTTCAATGGTAATAAAATTTTCAAGTATGGAACTATAGTAAATAATATCGCTTAAAAAAATCACAGTTCAGAATTGGCAAAAGTGGACAAATAGATACTTTTTATTTTGTTTTCTTAAAAAAATTACAATAGTAAACTTAATATAAATACAAATTCTTAGCGCTAAGAGCGTTCTCTTCCAGGCAACCTTTGGATAGAGAGGAGTAATTACAAAAAACGTTGACCAAAGGCACGAAACTGTTCGTTTTTGCGAATGTAATGCGAAGATACATTACACCAATGGTATTATAACACAAAAATCATTGAACACTCGATATGAGAACCCCTTTTCGGTGGCGGTTAAAAAGTACCAAATTTTACTATCTTACTAATTTGCTACGAAATTGCAGGTGACTAATAATTTTAAATCGAATTTGGTGTCTACGATTTTACATATCTATCTACAATACGTGTATTCATAAAGGACATTAATGTCCTGATGCACCCAGCAGTAGACGATTAACCAATCGTAAGATACTGTCGTATCTGCAAATGACAGGAAAGGTATCAAGGGAACTCAGCTTTGAACATAATTTATGAGATGTGTGCAGTAATAATGTTTGGGTTAGGCATTTGGGTCATGATCGCAGGTACGCATTTAAATCTTTTGCGAATTCCCTCTGTATAACACTCAAGATATTAGCGTCATTTTATGGATCATTAAATCTGTGCCTCTAGTGAGAAAGGGTTCAATTCAAAATGGTCACTTTTCAGGAGAGCCAAAAAACTATTTTAAATAAAGAAAAAAAATTCTGCTGCTTTTATTATTTGCTAATTGAACAAGTCAATGATTGCATTTATAGTAATTTTTTCCCCTCTTTCTTATGAAATTGTCGGTTTTTGTGTAAAACCTATAGTTTTAAAAATAATTCTATTATACCTAATCACACTTAACAAAAATATTAAAATTATGATGTGAAAATAGTTTTAAGTTGAATTAAAACTATTTTATTGAAGTATTGAAGAAAAACAATGATGTGTATTTTACGCTATAAAAAAATAATCGCTATTAAATGGTGTAAAAGGGTTCAAATCGAACTGATTCATTTTACAAAAATAATTTTTGTAAAATATTGTAGTTTTATTTCTAATTATGACTTTTTTACCACAAATATTTTGTTAATTGTAGCCTTTTACATGTTTACTATCTCTATTGTTTTTAAAGATATCGTTACGATTCTTATACCATTCGAAAGAGAAAAATTTGCTTATTTAAAGTAGCCTAAAAAAGAAAAAGGCTATAACTTGAGTTATATCCTTTCTCACTAGAGGCACAGAAATTAGCACTGTAGATATTGAATGGGCTAATTTTGTATAAAATTATTATACTTATCGGATGAGAATACAGTGATTAAAATAAATTAATGCCTATGATAATTCGTTTTTCTGTACTAATATAACTTAACACTTAATATAATTCGTAAACAATCTTAAATTAAATATATATTCAAATTTATCATAAGTATAATTAAGAATGGAAACTAATGCCCACCCCAGGATACGAGCAAAGTTTCACAAAGATATTATGTGTAAGAGTACATATATACGTATTTTTAAGGTATCCTCCTCCCCTGGAAATACGCGATTGTCTAAATTGTATTTTTATCGAATTTACTGATTTAATAATAAAACAGGTATTGTAACCATAATTCGATTTTATAATTTAATAACCTCTTTATTTATTTTATTATATTTATATATTATATTTGTATTAAATTTTACATACTGTTTTATTTTGTCGTCCCAAACGACGTAACTAATGATTAAAGAGCGTTGATTTACTTACGTCTTTGTTTAGTGTTTTTTATACACCCACACATGAGTGAAATGTCTACATTTTACTAATGTGTGGGTGTGGATGTATAAAAAACACTGTATAACTAATAGCTTAACATCAGTCTGAAGCCGTATCTGTGCTTTATCTTCCATAAGTATCTACATAAGTATATGTAATACCTACATAGGCTTTATTTTATAAGTTGTATGGACAGGTATATTTAATATTTCGAAATCAGCTTATATTTGGCAAATTGAAGAGCTTTGGTAATTAGGTGCAAACATGCTTATAATTTATCAACATTTCAAATAATTACCTAAGTATCTAAGTAGGTAGCGTATTTTCGTGGTTTGGGAATTTAAAAAAATATTTAAAATTTTGGTTCTTGTTTACGTGGCCCTCTTTCGAGACTGTCGTGGTTATTCCTGACGAATTAATCACGACGAATTAACTTACTGGATTTCCTTCCACATTTCATTTCCACCTATCGTCCTTTCATGGTACTTTGCTAAAACCAATAGAGCAGGGCGGAATTACAATTACATTTTCATGCATTGAAAATACCTAGACATCTATTAAAAAGTATTAAAGATATATAGGGATGGAGGATACCGGTTTCGAGTCAAGTGGTAACTCTCTAAATAAATAACCTTTAAAAGTTTACGCTAAAGGATCCCAGTTTTGTAATAGCCATGTATTTGTTGGCACAAGTTGAAAACATCTTGTCTCCCAGAGTTATGGTGCCATAGTGTTGGCACCGACCTATGGGCACCATGCCATTAAGCAATAGCAAACTGCACATATCCTGTATTCTAGTTCCAAAATTATATTTATTGAGAAATAATGGAATTATATTGGTTTTAATTGTTTTTAGGAAATATAGGAAGATAATTTGCATTTTCATATTTCTTGTTTGGTGGCAAATAGACCCTTCCACGTTCGTTAATAAGTTTAAATTAAATTTTGATAATTATGTACTTAGTTGTAGAGATTTACTCTGGTGGCCAACGGTTACAACAATGACACAAAAATACAGATTCACAGTTTGTTTCAGGTCCCTTAATTCAACAATTATTATCTGTCTACCATCTTTACATAGGTTTTTTATGAGGTAGACACGAAGGATCATGTGAGCCAGCATTCTTATATTTTGCTTCTTCTACTACCGTAATTTGTCTCATTTTCATGGCGGTTAAAATTAATAGTTATGTATTGCAATTTTAATTTTTACTGAAATACAAGGATAGGATAACACTAGTCTCCTGGTAACATGATCTGACTCAAATAAGGAGCGTTTGTTAATAAGTTTTAATTAAAATTTGATATAATTTATGTACTTAGTTGTAATAAATAGTTGTGATAAATGTTAACAATTAGAAATTTTTCCAAGAGTCGAATTCAGTCATATTTATTCGAAGCAACACAAAAAAGAAAAATATTCTCAAGTCTGTGATAAAAGAAAATATCAATCGATTTGTAACGAGAATTATTAGCAAATAATAGGTACGTCCTGTGCGGTCCCGGCATAGAATAGGCCACCCCTTCCTTTACCGTGAGTGTCGTAAGAGGCGACTAAGGAAGGGCCAGAGATAGGCAGCAGCGTCTTGAAACATCTCCAAAACCTAACTGCGGTTGCCAATTCGCTTGCCAAGCGTGACGACTACTAGCAAAACCCCCCTAGGGGGAGACTTATGTTCAACAGTGGTTAAGAGCTTATGTGATGATATGATAAATTGGTACGTAGAATTTATGAACAGGGTCTAGAGTAGCTATATATCTTTGTTTATTTTTGTTAATTAATGTAAAAATAAATATATAAATAAGTGCCTGTTAATTAAAAAGTTTTTGTTTTCTATTATTTAGGGTTTATAATAAATAAATGGCCACCTACGTATGAAATTAATGAATAAACAACACAAATATTAGCAGTAAATAATTATTATGATATTCAACTAACTTCAAATCTTTATTATGAAATCTTCAGCTGTCTAATGAAATGTGAGAGCCACTTGATCCAATAGCTTCAAGTTACGGAGACAATAGGTAAGTAATGGAAAACTTTGAAATAGCTTCTGTGTTTAACTGCCTGTTTGTACTCGCGCCATTGAATTTAATGATGGTTGAGAATTTCATTAGAGAAAAGCGCGTAAGTTATTACTGCTACACGAAGATATTAAATGCAATAAATGAAACAAATTTTTAGATTTGATAAAAATACTTACAGTTGCTTTTCTATAGCTTCGTTCCGATTAAATCGTCGAATGAGTCATCGTAGAGTTGCAGTTTCTCTTACGTTAGTTCCGACTGTCCCTACTTATAAATTAATATTGAAGTCCAAGAAAATATTTTATTAGTTTCCATTGAATCTTGCTGATGACACAAAGCAACCCACTGTAGTTTCAGAAGAGTCCACGTAAAAGTTCTATAATATGCTGTGATGTTTTTAAACTTTAAATGTAGTCTGTAGTTTTCAATAATGGATTTAAAAGTTTTTACTCGTAATTATTAAACGAAATTAATTCATTGATTTCATAAGAATTGTATATTTTTACTGATTGTTATTCAGTGACTTGAAAAGGATAACTCGATAAAGGAGGCTGCTATCACTAAAAAGAAGCAATCTTATTGCTAGCAATTAGACCTATAAGATTTACCTCTTACCAGAAATGGTAAATACCGTATGAATTTGTCATAATAGGCCAATTGACCTAATTTCGTCCTCATTTGTTATCCTCCATTTGTATTCCGTAAGCCTAAATAAGAGAGGTTACCATTTAAATTTAATACATTTTAAAAAATTTAATATTTTAACCATGCATATTAAAAAAAAATTAGGATTATTTTTGAATTAATAACATGAACTGGGTATATTACTGAGGTAGTTTTATATTTTAGTATAGACTAAATAAATTTTCCATACTCGCAAATTCCCATGCTTTTGCTAATCGCCACACAGGTAGGTGTGCTGTTTAGCGTTGTGCACTCGTAAAAATCCTGTCTGGAAAATTTCTGCTGTCGATATTTATTTAATCGCAGAAAGATTAATTGCATCATTGTTCCGCTGAGACGATGGTTTAGCGAGCTAAAGATGTCTGTACAGAGGTTTACGCGTTTTTAACGGCCGGAGTAAACAAGGCGTAAATTCATTATGCAGCCGTGTTGTTTTCATCTGCAGTGTGCCCGCGCTACCGTGTTGAGGAATACGCGCATACGCACACCTCACTCAGAGACATCACCAAGTGTGTTCTTTTTTGGTATAAGAGTGACAGATGTTTAGTTTAGTAGGTATATTTGGAATTTGCTTGTTTATTAAATTCGAATTAGGAAAAGTTATTTTAAATTTAATTCTAGAAACAACAGCATAATGAATTTGAAATTAAATAACGAGTTAAGAGGTTCAGTGAATATGTTGAAGAATACAAAAGCACCTGTGTCTTCTGTAAAGGTAGTTGATTAAGGCATGTGCATGTGTCTTTCAAAGTTTTGTTTGAGCAATTTAAGGAATTTAATAACAAAATACTTATCAGAAGCAGGTTATTATAAGTATTTTTTTTATTAGCTATTTATGCTTTGTTAGACGTAACCACACTGTTGTTTTTATTTTCGCTTAAAAGATTTTAATAATTAAAAACTAAAGATCACCCTAAGGGATTATAACACAGTGTTATTAAAAGTAGTTCCTAAATTGAATACTTTTAAAATATTTTTACTTGAATAAAATTGTTACTTATCTGCCTACCTAATGTCTAGCATAAACGAGTTTTTTTATTAATAAAAATTGGTTGGTGACCCACAGTACGTTACTGGTTTAAGCAGGGTACCAGTGAGGAATGATGAAAATTATGTCAGGTCAGTTAACCTATCGTAACTGATACATCAGGATTTAACTAAAATGGTTTCCAGAGGGGACAATAACGTGGAGATCGGTCTGACAGTATATATGAGGCTATTAGTCTCCGTCATTAACAATCCCTTAACACCTGCTTCATCTAATTTAGGTATAAAGATAGGAGTCGCAGCGTTTTAATTTATAAATTATAATATCAAAATAGATACTCAGAAATTATTATAAAAAGGGGGAGAAGATTCTGAAAGTAATAAATAAGTTTGTCAGTAAATATAGTCGTAAATCATGTTTTAGGTGCTTTTGGCCCACACTTTTATTAATAAAAAGGTAAAGCAACCTTTAATACCTCATTTTTCTAATAATTTACTATCTTTTTATCAAGTTATAAATTATATTGTACGTACAAGAAATATATTTTATATATTATAAAGGTGGCAAGTAAGCTTGATTGTAATCTGTTATTTTAGCCATTTAAATGTGTCAAATATACCTACGTAAACGGCTCTAAAGAAACCTTATTATCTATTAAATTTTTTGACGATCCCTATGCTGTAGTTTCTAAGGAAAAACTCAACAAGAAGCTTACTCTACAATATGAGTGTTCACGTGAGGTAATTTCTTTAATGTCTATCCTGAAACCTAAATGATCACGTACAGTGCGTACGTGATCATTTAGGTTTCAGGATAGGCAAATAAATTTCCTGTCAATTGTGAGAGGTTATATAATTAAAAGTGGTGGTGTCGAAATATTGTTTGGTTTAAACATAATGGATGATAGTCAGCGATTGATGACGACAATAAAATATTACTTTTCACCAGTACTTAATGGTGCCCCTCCTTTAACCACCGGTACTCAAAGAATTGATTGAGTGTCGCTATTGTGGTGAAATTTCTTTCATATCTTTTGTCAACTTTTACATTTACTTACGGTAGGGTCGTTTTCTTAATGATCTAGTACCATATATATATATATTAATATATCAACCATTAGTTGTCTACTGCTGAATAGGCCTTTCCCATTAGGAGAGATTTGCCAGTAATTGTCTCGCTCGGCAGGCGGGTTTGTGACTGCAGTTAGGCTCTGGTAATGTTTTAAGAGGCATGTTGCTACCCCTCCCTCGACCATTAAGTTCCTTTTGTCGCCTCTTACGATGCCAACAGGAAGGGGAGGTGTGGTCTCTTTTATTCCGGGAACATACGGGATACCGTATATAACTATGTAAAAATATAGTTGATGAAATACATTTTAAAAAACTAACCCTAATATAATTATTTATGTGCTTTCTATAACTGAATCGATTATAATTATACAAGTTGTGAAATATGAGACTTTATAAATTATAATTTTGCAATACCTGTTCTAGGATTTTTCTGCTTTAGGCAAAAATAATATTTACTGCTTTTTTAAAAGGTTAGCTATCCTCAATTTCGTCGCACTCATTATTTACCGCTCTTAACTTTTTTGTTTGTCACTAGAATAGGAGCTTGCTGTTTAAGAAAAATTACAATCATAAATTTTCGAAAAAATTATGCCAATTTTATGAAGTTAGTGAATGTATAACGAAATTTTTCGTTGGTCAAAAAGTTTTTGGAACAAAGTCCAGGAAAAGATTCCAAGGTTTAAATTTTAATTCACGTTTAACCCAGATTTGGGCCTCTTAATACTTTTTTCTAAGATACTGAAACGCGTATCTTAGTATTGTTTCAAGATTGTTAATGATGAGTCTCTAATATAAAAAGTAACGGAAATCTCATGCATACTTTTATTTGTTTGAATGAAAATTTGCATAGCAAACTTTCATTTCTTAAACGAACCCTTTGCGATAGATTTCTGGAAATGCTGAAATTACCATTACCTCTTTTAACAGAAATTTGAATATGAAATGTCAAGTTTTCAAGATCAGAACTGACAGATCTATCAATACATAGAGAAAATTATTATTCTCAGTTCAGCAATTAGAAATCATGCATAGGATTTTCGTGTTTTAAAAAAGCGTGTATTATATATGGATGTGGATAGCAAAAGGGCAGCGGAAGACCTAAAAATACATGGATGAACTATGATATGGCCAGAATAAAGTAAAATGGAAGAGGAAAATTTATTAAGCCGACCCCAAGTAAATAATTGGGTTAAGGGTATGAAGATGATGATGATGCACATGTATTTTATGCGTGACCTAAAAAGTATTTTATAAAATTAAGCGTAGACTAGCATTTATTAGATACGTAGCATTTATTATTTAATTTTGAAGTTATTAATAGCTGAACTTTTAGAGCATCTGGTGTTTTTCGTCTTCATTTCAAACTATCAAACTTTACTTGGTTCGTTTTGGATTCTTAAGTAGTTATATTATTTTTTTACATATCCACATATTCTATTTTTTTTTTTTTTTCATTTAGTATATTGTAAAGTTATTTAGAAACTTTGAGAACCACATACCAATGAATCTCTTGGCAAACAACGCCATGACGTGAGATTGAACGCGAATTATGTCGGCATTGCGGTTACTTTTCAATTTCTCAAATAGAATCGGACTTTTTCACAAACAGTACAGTTTTAAGAATGTGCAGGCATGGAAAAGTGAGAATAAATAACTTTTTTAAACAATTAGTATATGTATCGGTGTTTTTCAAGTTTTTGAGTATTAAAAACTGTATATTTCTGTTTCTGGAAAATATGATGTCATATGTAAGTATAGATAATTTTATTAATATTATTATTAGATTCACAAATTATAAATTTGTATGCATTATATTTCATATGAACGGTGACGAGATATGTCGTATTGTCATTTTAAAATATGTATGTATAATTTACAATTAAAAATGTGTGATTTTTGTTCCTCTATTTGTCTAGTAATTTGTGGCAAAGTAGAAATATTTTTTCCTAAAGGATTTTCTAGCAAATATCTATTTCTATCTTGTATTAAACTGTGATGAAGCACTATTTTCTAGATTTGATAGTATAAATATCAAAGTAATTGTGTCGAATATGTGCAGTGTACAAAAGGGAACCAAACATTACTTATTTGATTATTTTTGTTAGTCAGATGTTTACATTTTCTTTTCTTCGCATCTCGTATCCAGATACAGTTAATCAGCGTATAAAGCATAAATTATGACATTCTAATAAACATGCATAGAAAATAACTATTTAATGGTTTTTGTCTGAAAGTTGTTTTTCTATTTAAGGAATATATATATAAAATGAAAGAAGTAAAATAGTCAGTAAATATTTTTTTTGTCATTGAAATTTTTAATGTAAGATTTTATTCTATAATAATCTGACTTAGGAGTAAATAGTTTCGATTAGAAAAGGCATTATCAAAATTGTTTCGGAATTGACGAATATATCCCCTAATACTTCACGTAACGTGTGTACTCATGTAACACAAGATACGTAGACGAATTTAGAACTTGTCGTTTGGGAAGACAGAAAGAATTATTTACAAATTTTCCGTACTTATCTATAGGCCCGAGAGACAATAATGCGAAGGAACATGTCTCCAGAGTACGTTACAATCCTGCCGTCATAGCTGTATTTGATCCTGAGCGCTCAATTTCCTCAGGGGCAAGTAATCCGGCAATATTGTATTTGACGGATACCGAATTGGATACACCCGGCGACGCTGTGATCATCACCAAAACTTTTTATTTGTTCTTGTCATCATGTTCTCTATGGGCTTATTTGTCATCGCCATTTTAAAAACTTTGTTATTTTTATGAAACTTTTTAAAAAAGCAGATTCTTAATTTAACTGTTTTTGTAATATTATATTACGTGATGATGTGCAGAACAGTTTGTTGCGAAGAAAAATATAATTGTAGACCTACGATTCCATGTTTTAAATTCAAATATTTTAAATATATTGTGTCATACATGTAGTTGCTCAAGGATCTTTTTTTGTTATGTTCGATGTAAAACTGAGTGATTTTGCTATAGAAAAATTTCTATTATAGAATCTATAAATCTTAATAACAAATACTGTAAGTCATGTCTCATGTACATTTCTCTCTCTCTCTCTCTCTGTGTGTCTCTTTTTCTCTCAGTAGAATAAGATGTACATTCTATCCTGTAGATGTGCCGAATAGATGGCTCACTTGAGGTATTCTAAAAGAAGAAAATGGATAAAAACCTCTCTTGTACTATCTGGGATATTAGTGGAAGTACTAGTAAAACTAGAAAGTAAGAGTAGAAATTATTGTTTTGACATCTATTGGTTTTATTAGGATTCCTCATTTTATTTTTTCTTAAATATCTTTCATGTAAAGACATCGTTTAGTTGCAATTTTATCATATTTGTAAGATATGTAGGTATAAAAGAATACTATTACAAAAATATTGGAACTTCATAGTGCTACAAAAGGTATAAAATTTTACATTTTACGATTTAATTTTTCGGGTTTGATTTTTGGTCGAACCAATGTTTAGAACAGTGAACGTGAGCTTTTCTAAATTTACTCAAGTTGCTATTTTAGGGTTATACTCCAGGTGTACTGTGTCTAAATCTTTAATTATCGGCTAGAGTACGTTTTTATTTTATGAGTATTGGTTTATTTGAGATTATTTTCCAGGCTAGTCCCTAAAAGACAGTGCATGTAAGTACTCCCAGACATGTCTCTGTACGTAGTTGAAAGCTCCGCTCGCATCTCGTAGTGGACACAATTCTGAGGTGGACTCGGACCACCTGGAATTCCCCTAAATACGCCTATATTTAAGAAAGTCTAGTACGAAAGAATTATAGCTAATGAATTAATTTCCAATACGTGTAATAACAATTATAACTTCTCCGCAGTTTTTTTTAATCTACCGCCTAATTCAAACGTCCTGAGTCCTCAGGAATGGCAACGCATAGGGGGTATCATGGGCGAAACAGTATACTCTGTTATGTCCATGGTACTGCTCATGTCTATAGGCAACGGTTACCATTTTCCATCAGGTGGGCCGTCAACTTGTTTGCCATTCTAAGTTGTATAAAAAAAAACGTAATTTTAGCTAAGAAGAAAGGGCATGAAACTCTATTGTTATTGCTTTTGAGTTGAGTTATACATGTAATATAATAGACAATTTGTCTATGGAAAAAATGTTTATCATTCGTTTAGGATTTTACGATTGTAAATACCTGCTTTGGGTAAACTAATACCGTATTTACGTAAACTGAACACTACTGTGGTCGGATTAGCCGCAGGCTCACCTAAATTACTGAGGGATATGAAATTAAATTTGCATGACTGAATTGCGGGTTAAAGTTCCAGGAAAATAGATTAATAGATTATTCTTATATAAAATGGTCACATTATGAGCATTATTATAAATAATAAAACACTCTTTTAATACCGGCTTGATTGAATATTGCCTAGTGATTGACTAATTTGGCTGGTACACATGAGACATTCACTTGGGAACGTTGGTAATCTAATAATATACCAATATTATTATTACAAGTAGAATATATTATCGGATTTCAGTGAAGGATCACTATTCCAACATAAATAAGATTATAATATTTAGATACGTTACGGTTGATTATGTGGGAATTATAAGATTAAAGGACAATTTATGAAAGTAAAAATTGAATTTAAATTAGTTTATTTCTTTTCTCAGGGTCTAAAGGAATAAAGTACGATAAAGAAGTTCATGAGTACTAGTATAGGAAATAAATCTTTATAAACACCGCATAGTTAGTGTGGCAGGAATAGGTTAATTTTACTTGTAAACATGAGAGCTATGCCATTAGTGGGCATGGATTAAACAGCGAATTATAGGTACTGTAATTCTAGATTGGATAATGTGATTATTGGTGTTGTGGTGAAGGTATTCAATTTGCTTATATTTTGTGAAGTTTGTTTTTATTGTTGAAGGGTCCCGTGATGAACCTATTTCTTAACTTATGGAAAGTGACGATTTTATCGAAGGTAGAACTAGTAGCTAGGATGGACTATTGTAGTTGTTTATTCGAATAAATACAGATTGTAATACTTCTGAAAAACGAGGCTCGGAGAGAATTCCGCATGTGGAATGAAGGCGTAAAGCTTTTCTTGCAAATAAAATAGCAGTAGTAGTATATGGACAATGTAAGGGTAGATCCTTTCTCTGCCTGTGTGATCTGATATAAACATGAAAACTTATGGTTTTTGAGAGAAGGGAATTAACGCGATCATTTAGGAAAAATATGTTAATTTACTTGTTATCTCTATGGAAATTTAGTTTACAATAATATGGTAGAGAAAGTGGTTTTGACATAACATTATTTTTAGGATTATAATTTAGTTTATTAAAGCTACAGCGGTAAATCTACTTTCCTGTTAGATCATGAATTTCACAAATGTCTTTTCTACACAAGACAGCAGATAATTTGGTTTAATTACTAAAATATTCATATCTGTCTCGATTATCTTGGGTACGGATAGTAAAAAAAAAAATTCATTGACGTCACCGGAATTTATACACTATACGTAAGTTATAAAGAAAGGTATGCTAATCGTCTTATAAAACTAAGCAATGAACATCAAACGCTATGAATAATGGAAATTCTGTACCGTTATAATATTAAAGCTTAGTAAAACTGGCTGTAGACTAGATATATAAATAATATATAGATAGGATGATCCAAGCAGATTGTTTATGTATACCTTTATTATAAATTATAATATTACGTATCAGAAAACTATGTATAGACATAGATATTTGGAAACTGTGGCTACCTGATAGTGGAAAAATAATTATAGTCCCAAAAAAAGGTACCAAATGCTATATTTTATACTTTGTACAGGACAGTTCGTTAATATCAAGATATTAACGAACTGTAAATTGTTAGATAAGTAACTTCTCTAATTTTATTAATTTAACAATTACTGAATTGTAGTTATGTCAAATTTATTACTTACCTACTAGTTATCTTTATCATTTAGTTGTTTCTTTTTATCGCGTGTTTTTGATGGAGGAGTCTTGTACGAAAGAAGGCTATACCTATGGTATGGTACTCATCTTTCTTTGTCTACTCCATAAAAAATAGACAAATTTTAATATATTTCATAAAATCATACTATCAAATATTTTCAATAGACATGGAAAAAAAATGGAATTTCCTTTTCAAGGAATGTTGCGTTGGTTTGGTCATTTGGAGAGGATGGATGAAAGAAGAATTACGAAAGAGATTTATCGAGCAAGAATGAATGGAGATGTCGGTAGGGACCACCCTAGACGGACGTATGTTGACCAAATAGGCGACGTGCTGAAGAAGGGCTAAATTAAAAGTACCTGTAACCGGCGAGCGTGTATGAAAAGATTGATGAATGTGGAAGAAGCGAAAGAGGTTTGTTTGAATCGAAGCATTTGGCGTTTCATTGTTTCTGCCTACCCTAATGGGAGACAGGCGTGACAGATATGTATGTATTATATTGTACCGACAGTAAACTTTTTTGCTTGCACAATGATCGCCTGTAGCTATTATTTCCGCCACGTGTGCTTTAGTTATGTACACGAAAGTTCAATAAATATCCGTTAGTAACGATTGCTACTTCATAAAAATATAAAAATCTTTTTCACCGAGCTCTATAAGTAATAAAATTTTAATGGCAGATAAATATAATGGCTGATAGTAGTGGTTTAATAACTAGCTGGATTATATAACATTGTCTAATCTGCCGAGACACAGCAAAGTGTCCGTTTTTGGTTTTGATCTTAAAAATATGATATTCAGAACAATGGACAATGAAACCTTAGTCCTTTTATCATCATCATCTTAGCCATTATTCGTCCACTGCTGAACATAGGCTCCTCCCATAGACTGGCTTAAAGATCGATCCTAAGTCACCTGCATTTACTGATTTTCTGCATTGTATTTAAGGTCGTCACTTTATCTAGTGGTAGCTCGTCCTACACTGCGTTAGCTCGTGCGGGGTCGCCACTCTCTTCTCCATCGGTTGTCGGTTTTTCGAGCTACTGGTGCCCATTGTCACTTCAGCTTGCTTATCCTTCAGGCTATGTCGGTTACTTTGGCTCTTTTGCGGATGTTCTCGTTTCGGATTCTGTCACGCAAAGGAACTCCGAGCATAGTCCTCTTCATAGCTCACTAAATAATTTAAAGCTTTTGCATACGAGCAACCATGTTCTTTAATTGTGTTAAAATAGATGAGCAGCACAGTATAAGTATTCGATGATATTAAAGGCGACAATTACTATTTTTCATTATATTGGTTGTCGGTATGTTTGTATTAGTATATATATGTATAAAATCAAGGGATGACTTTTTTTTAATGGATGACGATGGAAGGGTATCCCCGCCTGCGCTAACGGTATACGCTGGCGGGGCACCAGTAAGAGATGATAGGTGAGAATGAAAAGCCAAGTCAGTTAGCCTATTGTGATGAATACATCTAGAATTCAACATGATAGTTTCCAGGGGACCACGTAGAGGTCGACCTGATAGGGTATATTTCTAGTAATGGGACTGGTAGTCCGCATTACTAACCATCCCTTCTCCTCCCATCACTTAACGTTTTCTGTATGAATTCGATAGTAACAAGAAATAACAAAGATAATGATTAAATTTATTTTTTGTACATTACAGGAAGAGCGGCGTCGTACCGGTCGGTACATAGCTATCTTAGTGGGCATAAGTTTATTCCTGTTGGCAATGTACCACGCTTGGGTCCGTAGGATACCCATCGTGGCCAGTCTGGTGGTGCCGGCGTTGATTATGTTTGTATATGTCGCCTGGGTATTATACACCGCATCGAGGGATAAACACAGGGTACAGTATTTACAACAAAAAATTTTTTACACCTTTTTATTTTAAAGTTGCTACTTATGTATGTAGGCAACGGTTACTAAATTTTATTAGGTGGGCCGTTAGCTTGTTTGCCATAATAAGTCTTATAAAAGAAATATAGAATTAATATCAGGAGAAACAACTTAATGATTGCTGTTCGATTAGTCTAAATAACTACATCGCCATACTGCGAAATTCATTAGGTCCATGCTTTCGGTTTCTCATTCAACCATGACCTGTCGATAAACGAGCACTTCCTTATTGCGTTGAGACAACTATTTTTATTTCCTCTTTTCCCGGCCTAAAAGGAGGCGTACCAGAAGACGTAATGTGTAAACACACTAGTTAGGTATGTGGTAATAGCGATGCACGACTTTACTAATTCGACTATTATTTTTATTCATTCGATGTTCTGATCTAATGTTAGTCGATTACTAATGTTGCCCAACTACTAATATCATTCGACTATTATTTTCATTATTAATTATTATTATTATCAGTATTCATTAGTAGTCGTTGATGTACGATTTTTTTATGTATTATTGTTGTTTTTATATATTATATTTTTTATACAGGAAAAGGATTAGATGTAATTAATTACTAATTAGTAAAATCATTCGAATACGGAAATTAGTATTACTAAATTTAGTAGTCGAATTATAAAATTAGTAATTACTGTTTATTCGAATAACAAAATCATTCGGATTCGTGCATCGCTATGGTTTGTGTGTCTATGGTATGTGGTAGAGGCATTCCCATTTATCATTCGTTCAACACATTTAAATGCAACACATTTAGTCTTTGCAAAGACAAAGCATGATCATGCTGTAACATGTCTCTAGGGCAACGTTGTTCATTACAATGGGATACTAGCCCGCATATAACTAAATCCCTGAAGAGAAAGTATTATTAAAAAGAGCTCAGAATGCTTCTTTGGTAAATTGTCATATTACGTTTATTGGATGCACTAACAAGTTTTGATGTATCGAAGACTAGCTTTTTCCCGCTCGTTTTTATGCGCGAAATTCAGAAGTAGGACAACCAGTGAAATAAACCTCTCCTAAATGGCGTATCAAAATAAAACATATACCTGATTTTATATTAGATTTTTTCGTGAAATACAACAATTAAAACCGCATTTAATTTAGTGCAGTAGTATTTGTGTGATACTGGAACAAACTAGTCTGTATGACTAGCAGACGGACAGACAATTTTTCTAAAAAAGATTATTTTGGCTTCTATAATTCCTATTAAAACTACTTTACATATTTTTTGTAAATATCTCCCATGTTCACACATAGTCCAGTTACAATTTTATTATAATAAGTAAGAGAATAATTAGCCTATCTATAACCAAAGCTCATATAAAAGTCCTGATATTTACTTCAAATAAACGACATACTAGACAGACAAACAAACAGAAGTATCTTACTTCTGTTCTCATTCATGTGGGTAAAGTTATTAGTAGTTACTAATAGCTATATTATTAGCCTACTAGTGCTAGTTACTAATATCGTGATAAAACAGTGCAACTGGTAGTTTGCGTGAGTCACACAAAGCTGTGGTAGTTTATGTGTTGCAATAAAATCTATTAGTTAAATGCTGTATGTTTATAACATAAAAATCTAAGATTATTCCCAAGTATGTTGTATCATACCTACATGTAGGTACAAAAAATTCTGACGCAGGATTGTATCTGCATAGAAAAGTTAATAACATCCAAAATAAACATTTATCTTATACGTAAATGCTTTGAAATTAAACAGGGGTCTCTGCGAGGTATTTGAGAGTAGATAAAATGTCGAACATAGAGATTATACATGTATTGTTTAAGACTGACGGTTGTAAAAATACAGGTGCTAGTTACGTGGGTGAAACTATTCAAGCAATTGAAGTTTTTGTTGCTGACGTGGCCGCTATAAATAAAATTTAGGTGAAATATCCTAGCGAGGCATCCAGACATAACATGCATGAACATTTTGAGCTAAATGAGTTTTCACATTAAGAAACACGAATTACATTTTCATCATCCACTCTCTTGTGGGAATAAGCAGGCAATCGATTTTATATATAATTTTGTCCATTATTTTTGTGATTTCTGATTATAAAATTTCTTAAAAAATCACGTGTTTGTATGTATTGTTTACTCCAACTTGAGGGACAGAATAATTTTAATCATAATAAAAAACTAAAGTGATCAAGTGAAAGTTAAATTTACTAGATTTAATATTTATTATGTAAAATAATATTTAAATTATATACACAACATGAGGTTATTATTTAAATATATTGTACACGCAATCAAAATTTGAACAACTCCATCTATCAGCTAAATATAGCAATAAATATCTATTGGAAATTAAACATACCTTCATACGTAATGATAATCATATTTTATACAATATGACCTTACTATATATTTTTTATATGAAATAAATATCTAATAATTATAATTATTAATGTTTTTGGAGGTTTTTATAAATTCTCAAAACTGCCACACAGTCAAAAAAATAATTTTATTTTTCCTGTAATATTCATGTATATCTTTATAAACGGTAATTACTTCATATTTTTTATTCACAAACTTCAAGTATAAGGAGGGAATAGATTTTTTTTTACATTTTCTATTAAAACAAACAAATAAATAGAAATTAGTTTTAAATTGTACTAATAAAGCACTTTGATTATAATACCCCACTTGGATAAGTAAATCCATTTTGAAATTTTGAGTACATAGCAAAGAAATTAAAAATAATTTTTCAATTATTTCCATTGCAATAAACGTGAGTTAATAATTTGTTAAATTGTTCCAAATTTTAAATCGATACATTAATAGTTGCTGAGATATAACACTGTGACAGACGGACGGGCGGACAAAATCACACCATATGAATTACTTTCTACCTTTTTAGTAGGTACTGGTAGAAAGCAAAATATCGTTTACTCGGCCAATTAATGGTTACATAATTATTATAAAATTCTAGTCGATTCGGCAAATGTTTTACTTCGTATCGACATCATAATAGATCTAATAGGGCCTCTTATCTTATTATATAGTCCTGAAGTATTTTATCAATAAGGTACTTAGTGGAGAATAGTAGATAATACATGAAAAGTATTTCGAGTATTAAGTTAGATAGATAGGTAATATTCGAGATCTGGGGGGAAAGGGATTGTTAATAATGGAAACTGAGAATCCAATTGCTAGCAATATACCCAACCAGGTCGACCTCCTCGCGATTCTCCCTGGAAACTATCATGGTTAATTCCTGATGAATTCATTATGATGGGCTAACTGACCTGTTTTCATTCTCATCTATCACCTTTCACTGGTGCTCCGCCAGCGTATCCCGTTAGCGCAGGCGGGGTTACCATACCATTTTCACCCATCAAAAAAAAATATTCGAGATCTTGTATCTGTACAAGATACACTTGTCAAATAAAAATTCTCGAACCTGATACATGATAAGCTGACTTGAATCTGCAGCTCAATCGATTTTCAGACGTCTTAGTGGATTAAGCGAGATAAAAAGCCACTAAGACGTTAGAGCAATTCAATTGCGGATATTAAAGGAAATTGAAATAATTTATTTGAGAAATGTTGTGCAGATATTTTGTGTTTGAAATAAGGTGCATTAAAGTGCTTTTTCTCCTTTCTTATTATCATTTCAGTAACTTTTGGACTACTCCTGAATATAAGCGTCTCTATGGATTGCAACAATAAACGGTGCCGGGTCACTAGCGACCATTGACTATAACACATTGAGGTCGTTACTTACTCTAGCAGTGGGTGGCTTTACACGGCCTTAACTAAATAGGACTGCGATGATCTTTTTTCCCTTACATTTTGTCTACTTGCTAATGGTTATCATTGCATGTGCACTTGTGCAATATCAAAGTTAACATGAGTGAGCTTTAATGGGAATTCTTGGGAATTCCACAGGTGCCAAACCTAGTATTGCGCAGCCCCTGTGTTTTAAGACAGTTTAATGCAAATAAACTTATTTAATTTCAGATTCATATTAAAATCATTAGTACCCTTATAAAGGAGTATTTTGCTAATAAAACTAAACATTTTTCTAAAAGAAAATGAATTGATAAACGACAAAAAGTTTTTAAACTTTCATATCAACATGTCGCGGCTGACTATTAAATTGGAAATAATGCAGTTTCATAACTGGAATAACGATTTTTCTCTGTGTATTTAAATTTTGATTAGTAGTCAAAAAGACATAAAGCTCAAACTTACTATATAAATTTAAAGTAAATAAAAAATCTTGTTGTTGTCTTCCTACTAATATTTTCTGCATATTGAATGTATGAAGTCACTGTAGACCATAAATGCTTACAAGATTTGCAGCGTTGTCGCCTTTAGTGGCATAAAAGTCTCATTCGTTAAAAAAAAATATTTCTAGTAATTTAGTTGAAGACAAATAAGAAACTTAATAATTTATTACATTAATAAAGTATGGTTTGGCAACTTATAGAATTCCTTTCATTCATACTACTGAAACTGAGTAATATAATAAAAATCAGTCTAAAAAGTCATTTAGCGAATTTCAGCTTTGCTTAATCAAAGCGTGATTATTCAAGGCTCAACATCAAAGTTGTACTACGGGCCGGTTAGAGACGCTCGCCAGTAAACAGTGGCTGATTCACGAAGCTGCTCATTTATACGTACGTAAACATCAGCGTTAACGTTAGAGCTGGAATCGATTGATGCTGCTGTGACAGCATGTTTACGTAACTAATGCTCGCGGGGCCAAAGTTCACTTTATTTTCACTTTACTTTACAGTTCGTTATAGGTATATTAATATCTATTCACTGAAAAAATGGATAAGTTTCCCTTGAAAGGAGCAAACTTTGTTTTAGTTAATTTTAAACATTCACGTTGTTTACAAATATTTTAAATAAAAGTCCTGTCATGACAACGACGTTATACAATCCACGCCGACAATAAAGAAGCAAGTAGGTAGGTACT